GAGAGAGAGAGAGAGAGAGAGGGAGAGAGAGAGAGAGAGAGGGAGAGAGAGAGAGAGAGGGAGAGAGATCCTAGTTTTATTAAGAATCAGAGATATTCTCAGTTATATTTTCTCAGTTGATATTCATGAAATTAAGTTTAAGGCTTATTCTCCAGTGGACTGCAGGGACGCTTAAAAAAAAAAGATTGAAAAAGTCCTTTCTAAATTGGTGTTCAATAAGTCATATAAAAAGTCGAAGCAGGGTATGCCTCGGGGAAGGTGCAATGCTTTGATGGGAAACAGAACAGTAAAACCCACCAACCACTCTTCAAGTCTTTATCCTTGGAACACCATGCCATGAATGTATGCATATGATATTTACTTATGACTAGCATAGTTGTTCTTATTTTTTTTTCCAATTTAAAAAAAATACACAAAGTCCCTTTCCATAGGGACAGAGTCATTGCTTTCATCTTATGTGACCACTACAGGCTCCAGGGGCTGTTCAGGCTCATTGCCAAGGCCTGTGTTTTCACTTACGAGCAGTGGGCGGTCCTGGTACATCAGCAGAATGGAGTGTGTCCACCAAGACAGCTTCTCCGCCACCTTCCTCAGATGGCTGACTTGCATCGCCCATCTGTGAGGCCTTCACTGCAACTTGCAGACTCTCCGCTAAGTAGGAAAATAAAAATAAATTTAAAAAATGAATGTATGTGTAGAGTTTGATCTAGACCAAGAGTTAACAAATTGTATTTGGTCTGTGTATGATTTTACGTGGCCTGGGAGCTATGTATTATTTTTACGTTTTTAAAAGCTTGTTAAAACACAGGCTTGTGTGTGCACACGCACACACACTCCCACACAAGATAAAGATGGGGTGACCTGCAAACCCTAAAATATTTACAATCTCGCCCTTTATAGAAAAAAATATACAGGCCTGAAATTTAAACCAATACTTTTAACATCATCTTGAAATATAGCGCTAACTCAATAAAACAGTAAAAAACCATTATATAAAAAATCTCAATGTAACTTTTACTTCACTAAAATAGTATGTTGAAAAACTTCCTGTAATTCAAGTAATATAAACATCAGGTATTAGACTTTTAAAAGCAGTTGTTCAGAAATATTAGCTATTCTTCAAAAGAGTATTTCCTCCAACTTTAATAATATAGATTCCCAGTATTCACTCTAGACCTTGATATCAGGTTCCACAGAGGAAAGGGGGCAATTTTTGTTCTAAACAAGCTCCAAAGGCTAATTCTGAATCACAAAGCTTCCAACAGCTTAAGAAAAGCCACACCAGGAAGGGGAAAGTGTGTTCACAATAAAAGATTTTGACTAGCCTATAGCAGACTATGACTTTGAGGACTCTACAAATATTCCTAAAGCCATCTTGTCCAATGATTCCATTCAGAAAATACTGAGAATCAACTCTGACTACTAAACTACTTTTATAACTACTAAAGAGAACCTGCAGACTGGAGAAAGAAAGAGACATACAACTAACCATATTACAGGGCGGCACATTATCAGGTAAGYTCTGTCTCTCAGTTATTTGAGCATTGCAAAAGCTACTGCAGCACTGGTGAGCAGGAGAGTTACATAAACTAGTGGGATTAAGGCAAAGTTCACAAAAGGGATGAAATCTGAGCAGACCTGGAAGGATGGCTGGGATCCGTGGGGCAGAGACAGAAGAAGAGAAAGGAAAACCAGTCTGGCATTTCAAAGAACCAGGAAGACCATTCAAGGTGCATATTCAGCTGGTTTTTTTTTTTTTTTTTTTTTTTTTTTACAGAAGATGATTACCTTGCTCTGATAAGAATTCCTGCTGCATCTCTCACCTGAAGGCTGAGTGCTGACCAATGACTCAGGGGTGAATTACCCCACTTGGGGCCCTTGCAGTACCTCCCCTGATCTGGTTCCTTTTGAGCAGCTGTGTCCAGGGCTGTTCCCTCATATCTCTTTCACACAATGGGCCAAAGGAATTGAAGCCAATGAACTTATAACCCATCATTAATAAAAAGTTTTAGTGGGGAAATGAAGTCAAAGCCACTGGCTAAAAATGAAGAATGAGTGATTTGTTTCACAAAGGCCTTATCACTTTTAACTCATTTGGAAGTCCTTTTGGTGTTACTTCTAAAATACAACTCGAATCTGTTTACTTCTCTCTGCTTCCGTTGTCAATAGTCGGAGCCTAGACCCATGCACCAGTATCTCTCATCTCAATTGCTTTCTAACACGTCTCCAAGCAAACTCATCCCCTTCCAATCTGTTCTCCTAAGTAGCCAGTGTTCCTTTTAAAACATAAAGAAGATCACACCACACCCTGACTAAAAGTTTCCAGTGACTTCCAGCACATTTGGAACAATAGAAAAGATTGAATCATGGCCGACAGTGATCTGATCCCCACCCACCTGCACCACTCCAGTTGAGGCAGTCGCTGACTTCCACCACCTTCTTTCTTTCTTGAAAATTCCAGGCTCAGGGCCTTTGAGCTTACTTTCTCTCTGTTCAAGAATGATTCTCCCCCAGATCTCTAGATAGCTGGCTTCTCACCCCTCAACTCTTATTTCAAACAATAACTTCCTGGGGCGAGGATCTTCCTTAACTTCTCTAGAGCAAAGCCTTTGCCTCCTCCCAATCCCATTATCTTGTTTCCATGTGACTTTCTGAATGATCTGGGTTCCTTAGGTACTGTTTGTCATCCCCACTGGAACTTTTATGAAAGCATTACCATTCCCTTAGCACCTTCAATGATGCACAGGGTAGATTTTCAGTGAATGTGAATGTTGAATGAATGGATAAACAAATAGGTGGTTCTCTCTGTGGACTCCACTTCAGACAACCTTTACGCCCTTCCCAAGGTGGTGGATCCCATGATTTCTAAGTTCTCTCCTAAAGTGAATTTTCTGATATTCTAAACCAGTGTTTGGTAAACACTTTCTGCAAGTGATCAGATAGTTAATATTATAGATTTTGCAGACCATACAGTCTCTGCCAGAACTGTTTTACCCGGGCCACTGTAGGAAACAGCAGTCCAACACAGTAAATGAAATGTGCCTGTGTTCCAGGAGAACTAYATTCACCAAAACAGGCAGCACAGTGACCTTGATCCATGGTCTGTAATGTACCAATCCCTTTTCTGAATAACAGCATTCTTTGCCAATCAGGTAGAAGCTACTTTATTTTTTAAACTTTTTATTCCTATTATCGGTTCCTAACCACTATCCCCATCTGTCCCCTTAAGGTCCTTTCTCCCTCCACACTCCTGCCATCAGCTGGCACCATTGAACCACAGACTCCCACCTCTGCCCACAATCCCTGAACAACCCAGCACCTGGCACAAGTTCTCGACTTCCCTCCAAAGCTAATTCTGCCAAAAATTCTCAGTAATTTTATAAACTCAGTCCTTCAACCAGCCTGGCCTCTCATCTCCATGACATTTCCATCCAGTGATCTTGTCCTCCACCCAACCTCCGCCACCACCTGCCCCAATTATACCCAAGACTTTGTTAACACCAGTATCTGCACTTTGCCCCTCTGATGCCACAATCAGAGCTCTCCCTTTAAACCACAATTAGGGGGTTTGTCACTTGGCCTTCTCACTTCCTTCATGTCTGCTTTTATAGCATTATATCAAAGAGGCCTTCCCTGGCCACCCTATCTAAAATGGAACCACCCCAAGTCTGTCACCCTCTATCCCTTCTGCCTTGCTTATTTTTCTTTATAGCACTTGATGCAGCCTCCATGTTTATTTCTTTATATTTTGTTCTTCCTAAATTTAAGTTCCAGGAGAGCAGGTACTCATGTTTTGTTCTACTATATTCTCAGCACCAAGACAATGGTGCATGACATATAGTAGGTACTCAATAAACATTTTTTTCATTTGTCAAAACAAATCCTTTACAATACAACCTTCCTTCTTTCTGTGCTGCTGCCAGTAAAGAGGCTGCCTGAGGAGGCTCTCCTGGRTCAGGCTTAATGAGGAGGTGAGGTTCTAGATGGACATCCTCAAAGCCACTCAGCTCCCCCAGTTCAGCATAGATATGCAGCTTTTCTTCCAAATATGTGCAAATTTGCTGGTCTTGATTACTGAGTATTTCTGTGGAATAGAATTTACCATAGAAGTTTATCACTACCATGAATACAACAAATTACATAAGAATTCAAGTTATATAATTTGAATTATATAATTATATTCAAGTTAGAAGATAAAGATGCTGCTTAGTGAGTTGTCTGATCTAAAAGGTAAAGCTCATGCCGTTGGGTGGGACAGACCCAGGTTCAAATCTTGCCTCTTCCACTTTGTGACTGTGGCCCCCAGCAAGTGACTTATCAACCCTCTCAGCTTCCACTGCACTTCATTCCCCTATTTCCAGGAAACCCTGCAGAGTTCTTCTTTGTTTAAGCAGGCTGATTCCTATTAAGACTAGACACCCTGCTCAGGAATGAAAATTGAGGCAGCCCAGTCCAGGATGAGTGAATGCCCACAGGGGAAAACAACACAAAGGCCTGAAACTCCTCAGTCCTCAGCCAGTCATGGTCAAAACCAAGCATGCTGGCTTGTGTCTTTGTTTCTAAACACCCAATTTGTGTCACCACCCTTGCATGCATCCTTCTCTCCTGATTGTCCTATGTGACAAAATTCTTAAACCTCAGAGTCCTTAACCAAAATCTAATCCAGGGGTTCTCAGCCCTCTGCTCCTCAAGATTACCTGGAGAGAGTTTAAAATACTCATGTCTACTCTGCACACCTCACTGATTCTGAGTCAGTTAGTTGAGGGTACAGCCCAGACACGAGCAACCTCCTCAAGTGATTCTAACATCAGGCCAAAGTTGAGCTAACCTTACTTTACAGATTTGCATTTGATGGCCAGACCTATTGGGTTCCTTGTGCAGTCTTACAACTACGACATGACAGTGCTGGACCTAAAATTAAACCATCAGGMAGCAATTCCGACATTCATCAGTACCACACTGCCCAGTTACTGTTTYATGCGTGCATTTCTGTGTGTTTTAATCATTAAGGTAAAAGAAGGAGCTTGGCTGGTATCAGGATGTTTTCCTGGAAGGTGATCAGGGCAAGCCTCAGAAACACACAGTTAACCTTCCATTCATGACACCAGGGTTTTCCCAATACCCAACTAGCACACCATGACCAGGGAGCCAGAAGGGCCCACACCATACCTTGACATTGCTGAATTCTGGCCACTCTGGCTTCAGCTTTCCACTTCTCTTCATCGAATTCACTTGTCCTTCCCCCTTCTTCTTCTGGGCAACTTTAAGAGACAATAGTCAAGGGACACAACTGAAACTAAATCCAAGTATGTGTAGGATCATTAGGAAAACATGGAAACTTGGCAATAAAATTTATTCATAAAGGCAAAAAAAAAAATCAGCATAAAGAGAATTAGTGATGCCCCTTGGCCAAGAGCTTGGTTTTTCTTGAGAGAAAAGGACCGTGCAAAATACAACATGACTCTCAAAGTCAGCAGTATAGGATGACTCAAATATTCCAACACACAACCACACACACACACACACACACACACACACACACATAAACACACATACACCCAACACTCATGTTAAGTACAAATAAGATAATAATTTTTATTTTTTACAACATTTGGGTGTTTTAACAGGTGAGAGTAAGTGCATTGGGGGATGAAGTTAGGGAGCCATACTGAGTGGATGCAGTGGAGGTAGGGAAATTAATGAAATCAAATTACCATTAAGAATGATCTCTTTGGACCCTCATTTATACAAACTGTCCTTGAGTACCCAAGAGAAATAAATTGATTTAGAACCTTTAGTTCCACCAATCTAAAAATATTTATTGAATGATTCCTCAATACAAGGCACCCAGAGGTATGCATGACATGTCCCTGCCCTCGAGGAGCTTCCAATCTGATTAAATAAGCATATATATATATATATACATACATGTAAAAGATAAGATCCACAAGCACCAGATAAATGCCTTAGAGAGCAGGTGCTAAGGCATTCTTCATGAAGCAGGCAAGACAGGAGCTGCACCACAGTGCACAGGCAGAGGGGAGGGGAGGGCGCTGCATGCAGAGAGGAGTGTGGACGACAGATCTGCAGGTGACACGCTACCACTATCGCAGGCAGGTGCAGGGGCAGGGAGCAGACCATTCTGGCTGAAGCAGCGTTTTCATGCAGGGGAGACATGGTTAGAATGTTTTTTCCCAATTGAACAAGCACATTCCATGGACCAAAGACAGAAGGAAATGTTACCTTTCTACTGCCTATTGGATCCACCTCATCCAGTTATTTCGTTCCTCCTTGGAATTGGTGTGAATTTCATACATCTCGGGACCAGCYGATGAAGCACTGATCAGAAACATTCCTCTCTCCTCATTAGCAACTTCTCTAGCARTAAGCTTCTGAAGGGAAATAACGGATGGCTTCTGATCCTACATAAAATAGGAGAATGTGCAGATGAACCTGCGTCCTTTCTAAGGGTCACCCTGAACACATGAGCCGTGGAAAGCACAGGACTAGGGAAACCTTTATTTCATTTCCCACTTTTCAAAAGAGCTGAAGAAGTTGATAAGATCTCTAAGGGAGAGGGTATGGAGAAGAAATAATAGAAAGAAAGGGTTCAGGGGAATGTTTGTTCTTAAAAATTAGTGGTTTAAAAAGTCAACTTTTAAAAAAGAGAGAAAAAAATCAGAGAACTCATTTAAAAAATATCAAAATGCTGTGGTCGGGGATGAGGGATTTTTCTATGAGGATATGAGAAAGGAGAACAGTCTCTAAAATATGAGAGATGGAGAAGGATGATGGACCTGAAGAGTCCCTTGAATTTGGCAGTTAATAGCAATACAGTTTCAGTGATGGGCACAAATCCCCAGAAATCAACATCATCGACTGTAAAAAAAAAAAAAAAAAAAAAAAAAAAGAACAAGAAGGCCAGACCTTACATTCCCCAGATGTCACCAGCCTCTTCTGCTACTGTCCTGTACAACCCAGAAACAGAACTGCTACAGCTCTATCTACAGGTATCTCTCCTCACCAGCTAGATAAGCTGATGAGTGGGCAGCAGAGGGTCTAATTCATCTTTCTGTGCCRGGCACATTGTCTTGCACAGAGCAGGCACACAACAACTGTCTGTAGAACTAGACTTCGCATGATTCCACCGGAGAAAATAGGAAGAAAGCCTAAAATGTGGAGCCACACTGTGATTCAGCCACCTTCTACGGACATTCACTGTGGTCCTTAGAAGCCTCACGTGCAGCTCTAGGGACCCAAAGATGAAGACGACCCTGATTGACACTGACTTGGACCAGGAGCTGAAAGAATGGCCAAAAGAATGCCTGCCGCTGAGCAKTGTGGGGGTGAAAATGAAAACTCTGGCTTTGGTTTGTGGCTCTCGCCACTGTTTACAGAGCTGGCTGCAGTGTGTGGTTTTCTTTCTCCTTCACGGACTGAGTGACGCCTTTATTCAGAACATGCTGCTCTGTGCACCGCTGCTGGCTTCTTGGCACTGGCTTGTCTGCCCTCCTGACTCTGCAGTCATCATTGCCAGATCTGGAGTTGTGTGCCGGGGGGACCTGGAGCATCTCCTCCATGTTTTTTTAGAGTTGCATGAAAATATAGGATGGGACAGACAGAAAATTGGTCAACCTRGTTCTGTGCTTGGCCTCTGAAAATGGAAGCAAAAGCAATTTTGTGGCAAGCCTTCTCCAATATGGCCTTCTGTGATGAGGAAAGATCTTCTGAGCATTACTAATATCTGTTGTTCTATTACAGCCCTATTATCTGGAGTGTCATCTGCCTCCCTTTTTTCAATGGATTGTTTCAGCTTTCTCGGATTACAAGGTTGGTGGTGTCTATATATAAAAATTCAGGGTGGGTTTAAATTTCTTAAGACATAAGCAAGAGTGAAATCACTTGAATCAGAGTTATTGGGAGAGGGGCACTGGGAGAGTAAGATTTTTTGTTTGTTTGTTTTTTAATTTTTGGTGTCAGGTATTGAACCCAAGGGCATTTAACCACTGAGCTACATCTCTAGCACTTTTTACTTTTTATTTTGAGACAGGGTCTCACTAAGTTTCCGAGAGCTTTGCTAAATTACTGAGGCTGGCTTTGAACCTGAGATCCTCCTGCCTCAGCCTCCCAAGCCACTGGGATTATAGGTGCCACCTCACCTGGCATGATAAGATCTTTAAAAAGTGAAGAATAGATAAAGGGATGTAAAGTCTCACTCATTAAATAACCTTTAGGCCAGAAGACACCTGAAGCAAGCCCATCACTACTCATAGTAATCATAAGCTGTGAACAAGAACTCAAATTCCCAGGAGAAAAGGCAACACAGCTTCTCTGGAGACAGATATTAAACACTGGCAATGCAAAGATGTTTATTTGTGCCATAGCACTTAAAAAACATTTCTTACAAAATAAGTTGCCAACATTTAAAAACGGAGAGATTCTACCATAAAAAAAAAAAAAAAAAAAAAAAACTCTAGGATTCTGGGTGCTTGGGTAAGACAGAAGATTGGTGATACAGGGTCCATATTCTCATTTAAAAACACCAACTATGGCTGAGCAATGGCTCTGCTAAGCTGGAATGTGCACTCACTAGTTGACAACAGTCTCTACCATTCTCTGCTGCCTCTGCCCCGCTGACTCCTTGATGCTGAACGAGGATTCGCTCACTTCCACTCCTGCCAAGTCCCTATGGACATCTGAAGCTGAAGACCAATGATGCTGGGGAAGGGGCAAAGGAGCTGCTCCCTGTAATTCTGTTGTTATATCATGTCCACTTTGCACTGATTCTGTTAGTGATTCCAAGGGAATGAAAAGATTTAAGGTTGCTTCATTCTTTGAATTGAACTAGCTGATCTACATGTTCATTGTCTTTTTTTATTGTTTAATTTAGAAATTGTCTTATTTAATATTCAAGGGATGCTTCTTAGACTCAGTATCCCAGGACTTAGAAGAACTCATCTATACATTTTGCAGGTTTGGTTCCTACTCATTCCCAGCTGAGTGCTTTTTAAAAACAAACAAACAAACAAAACCGTCTGGTAAGGACACTACTCTATCTTCTTACTACTTTCAGATGCTTAGCTTCTGGCTGTTTCCCGGTTCATCGTGTCTTCTATAACACGCAGCAGGATAAACATCTTAGTACTGAAGGGCACAAGGAATGAAGAATCTCTCTTTTTGATCAGAGTGTGAGAATAATTTTCTGAAACATTAGGATGGGAACTAGGAAATGAGGGTATCTGTGTACCCCTAGCTAATGCTTCAATTCTACAACGTGTTCACTAAAAGAGATTGATGGCGCAGGGACAGATGTAAGACAGATGTTAGACAGATGTAACTAATAGGTCTACGATCCTGCTTTCTCTTTTACTCCCTGGTATCGCCTTTATGATATGAATGCAGCTTTATGATATGAATTCAGACTAACATCTTCCAGGAACAATATTAGCAACATTTTACTATTGTTCATGGCCAAACACATTTTACCAAAAACTAAGTAGTGGCTGCCTTCATTCTGATATTTGACAAACTGCATTCCGAACTGCCTGTTTAAAGTTAAGTGTGGTCTACAGGTGGTCTATGGGGATCATGTGAGATAAGAGGCCCAGATCCATAGCTCAAGTCATACTGTAAGTTGAGCATCATGGCTTGACCTGCATCCATATGCTCTATTGCCTAGAAAACAAGACGATTGTCTTTTACTGTGTCTAATTCTTGATTAATCGGTCAGTCATTTGGCTTGAAATACCACTCCAAAAGTAGGATTTGCTTTTCTTTCTGGCCTTCAGTTTTGAGGAAATCTGTTTCTGTTAAAATATGCTGATATTCTTCCAGCCAGGTTTTCACTGTCTCATGGATTAATCAAAACGGTTCCCCCCAATTCCCATTTTTTTTCTCCATATTCCTTCAGAATATCCTAGATACCAGAGAGGAAGCTGGAAAAATCAGTAAGTTTTCATGAAAGTTGCAATAGTTACAAATGTATTAGGGAGACGGGGCTTCTGGAAGGCTTCTGGTCATCCTCTGCTTTAGCTCTGTGAAAAACATTTTACCTTTGAACAACTCAGCATGGCTGAGCAGAATGAAGAAGCTTCTCTAGCCAACTGACATGTACCAGCAAACCACTGCTCCAGCCGCCTCATCCCAGAATCTCATCACCATAGACACGCTTCTTTGTTTTCTTGGAACAGCAAGACAGAAACTTTATTGAGCTTTGATTTTTCCAAAACCAGATAGAATCAATGCTACCTGCTCATGTACCAAATAGCCTGTCAATCAATGGATAATAGATACATTTTACAGAGCCACCACTGTACTGCCCCTGTTAGTATTGTCTCTTGGATTCTTCTTGCTAACAGAGCCTGATGCTCCGTGGTGCCCACAAGGAGTTAATGGATGCTATCTTCCTTCTCCACACCATTTTGGACTACATAGACATAGATGCTATGTAAGAAATGTGATAAAGTGCTGGCTTTCACTAAATCTAATTATGACTCAACAATAAAATTATACATCCCAAAGGTAAGTGTTATTCATGACCTGAGTCATCAGAACCCATTGTAGTAGAAATAAGAAAGAATCTTCTTCAGATGTCAGGATGGTGTTCACTTGTTTGGCAGAGGGGACATTATAATGACAGTTACAAATGGGGCCAGCAAGCAGCACAACAAGGCAATCCCAGTAGGAATAGAAGGAGCAAGATGCTGAAAGTGACCCTCTGTCCCCAGCATTAACATTTCAGCCATTAGATATGAGAAAAGGACATAGGGTTTGGGGATAATAGGAAAGACCAAGATAGCCATAACAGAGAGGTACCTGGGGGGCTCAGGGAAGTGCCTCTTCACTATCTAGTACCAAAGTACTACAATCTTTTCACAATTCAAATAGTTACTAAACCAGCTGTAAAATCACCAATAATAATGGAACTATATGAGAAGCATTTTATTTCACTAAGAATTTCGGGCATTTTATCCCAAGGAAATGCAGAATGAAGTCTTATTAAAAATATGCATCATATGGCCATATACTTACTACGGCTGCAAAGATGTATTTCTGGTCTTTTTCTTGTAAAAAGAGCAGCACATCAGTTAGAAGTAGAGCTAGGATATCTTCAAAGAAAAAAAAAATTACTAATGTTAGTGATGCAAACCACATTTCAAATGCCTTTATTAAATATTCTAATTTCATGCTTCAAATTTAAATAAATTCAATAAAAATTAAGTGACTCAGGTTAGTCTAATTATAAAGCTTTTATTAAATCCCCAGTATTATGATAGTGAAGGATATACAGACAACTTAGTAAAAAGCCAACTTTTAGTGTGCATGTTTGTATGTATAACTATACTTACAGAATTTAAATTTAAAATGGATGAAAAATATCCTACAGAAAGAAGGTTCTAATAGATTGGAGCAAGCCCTTACATTTAGGGGAAAACCACGCTTAATTAAAAATGTAACAAGGGGGCTGGGGTTGTGGCTCAGCAGTAGAGCACTCACCTAGCACATKCGAGGCCCTGGGTTAGATCCTCATCACCACATAAAAATAAATAAATAAAATAMAGGTATTGTGTCCAACTACAACTAAAAAATTAATATTTTTTAAAATATAAAAAGGCAGCTTCCACATCAACTTATACACGAAAACCTGTTCCTGTGTTTCATGGAGAGTTGAGTGAAGTTTGAGTGTYTAGATTTCTCTTGCAAATTGTTTACAAGAGCCCACCTTCACTGGAACCACTGCACACACAGACTGACCCCATGCAGTGACTCTATTAAAGGGAAAAGGAACAATCAGATCTATGGATAGTGGTTAAAGCTTTTTCAATACAACAGTGTAACCTGTCAAACAACAAATCCCATTTCAGAAAAAAAAAAAAAAAAAAAAAAAAAAAAAAAATTTTGAATGACCAACAATAAAAAAAAAAAAAAAAAAAAAAAAAATCCCATTTCAGACATTAGCTGAACTTCCAAAAAAACCTGACCATCCTCCTGTGCATAATGACCTTGAATTTAACAATTTAACCAGATTTAACATTCTCTTCCTCTCGTTACTCACCAGAGAACATTATTACGATGAAGTGTTAGAAACAAGGAGACCAGGCCTGTAGCTCTTATTCCTGTCTGCAAAGCAGACTCACCTGGGTAGAGCTGGGGGAGGGGGCTTTAAAACATCCCTCTGAGCTGGTTGACCTCTGAGGGGATGACCCTCACTGACAAAATCAGAATCTCTGGGAGGAGACTTGAGCATCACTGATTTTTTTTCAAGCTCCAGAGGTGATTTTAGCGTGTGGCCAGAGTAAAAAAGCCTGGGTCAGGCAAGGCGCTATCTACACGACCTCAAGAATGGAAATCAGCTGCTTTAGAGTCCAACCAGATTAACAGAGTTGAGTTAATGCCATGAGCAAAAGGTAGCCTGAGGAAGTACTTAAAACAGGGCCAGCAAGCAGGTGGATGTGTGTTACAGTGCTCAATAACAAAGATGATATTCAGAGTTTTCTCACTTGCTCCCTTCACGATCTGACAGCCTCAGGCTGACTTGGCACACAATGGACCCTGCCCGTGTAGGTGTGATAATACCTTGCTATCAACACAACTGCCAGAATAATATTCCTGTGCCAATGATGAGCAGAACTCTCGGCTCCTTTAATTTTAGACATCACAAACATGCACATTCATAAAACCACACAGGAAAGTTGTTGGTTGGGACAGCAAATTCCCATCAAAGACGTGATCACTGGTCACACTTGCCTATGGAACCTCACAACTTGATCTTTCAACTGAAAAAATCAAGGGTCTGTGTATGCAGTCCTGCCACTTTGAACCGTTTTTCCTCTGAAAACCCGTCCCCTGTTGCCTGAACAACAGGACTGAAGGCAGGAATGGGTCTGGTGTAGCCACAGTTACCTTTGAAACGTCCCGTGGCGGTTTTCCAGTAAACGAGACCATCATACAGCAGGGTTCGCTCTGTACTCATCAGGGCCTGCTTTCTAAACACGTGGCCGTTTTTCAGCTTTGTGCATGTTTTGTTTTCGATCTTACTTAGAATCTCAAGCCATTTTTGGTTTTTCTCATATTCGTTGACTTTCAGRTCCACAGCTGCAATCATGTCTTTAATTAAGCAAAGAGCTTTGCATAAGTCTTTATGTTCTTCAGTTCTTTCTGCATGGGAAAAAGAGAGAAAGAACACCATACAATAAGCCACTGAAAGAACACATACAATAAGAGCACTGAAAAAGAAAGGTTTTTTTTTTCTTTAGTTTTTAAATATAATTATATGTATTATCCAAATAGCAAAAACTCCATGAGAAAAGTGCTGGATTAAATCAAATACTATATTATCACTCTGCACTTCCCACCCCCAAAAAGAAACATTAGAATACTTGTATTATAAAAGATTTGCTTATTAAATGTGTTTTTGGTGACAATAAGATAGCTGAGTTCTATCTCCTATAGCAGAGAATATGTCACAGCCAATTCAGGGCTTCCTTACACCTTCCTAGACACAGCAGTCTAGTAATTCCCACACCAAGTTTCCAAGAACTGAAGCTACCCTTGGCATCTAGTCTCCATCTTCTTACAAGCTCAGCCACAGATCACCTGAGTGGACTTCAGATTCATTTGGCTTCCTGGATCCTTCTTCCATAAAAATAACATTCAAAACTGTGTTTTATAGCCATGTTGGCATACCTATGAATATATTCACATTATAATTTCAATATTTTCTTTGACCTAACATTTTTTTTTCTTCTGTGAAAGAAATTAATATATTTCCAAGAGCTCCAAATACGGTGCTTAATGGGCAAGTCAGTCAAGCTCCTGTCACCAGAGCAAATGATTATCAGTTCTAGTAGTTTCACTTTCAACCACTGGCCACATGCTCTCATTTCTGTATCACCTTAAGGAAGTACTCTGGAGGAGTTTCTGAAATAGCCTTCTGAAGCCACACAGAAGTGAATTGATGATAAGGTCACCTAGCTGATGTTTACTGAGGTGGCTGGAACTCAAGGGCTAAAGAGGAGAGGACAAAAGAAAAACTGGCAGAGAAACCAAAGACTCTCTAGAGGCTAGAGCTGCAGAAATATATCTTAGAATGAGCAGTCAGTGAGGAATGGGAAACAACCCTCAAAAGGGTTTAAATATTTCCAGGATCTAAACATCTTCATATATTTGGGAGGGTCTTATCAGAAAACCTCAAGGAGCAGATCCTGATGCCCATCTTTCAAGGAAGATTTTTTCTCCTTGCTGCCTGTCAAAGAACACACCTCACTACTTGACCTGCACAGAGCCCCTCCTCCACAAAAGATTCTAATTTCTATAAAGCCTGTTTCACTACTAGAAAAGCCAAGTAGAGAAAATCAGAGTTGAGTTACAAGGTCAAGGAAAGGTCAAGAAGAGGCTGTCTTTTGATAAATTACTTCTTGAAAAGCTTAGTTACCCAAAGTGGACAGCATGGGCCTCCCTGGGAATCCTGTTAAAAATGCTTGCCTTGGGCTCTTCCCCAGACCTACTTATTCAGGATATGCACCTAAACAAGGTTTCTAGGAAAGGAGATGGCTAATAAAGTTTGAGAAACACTGCTGTAACAGAGTCATGGAAACCAATGTCCTCAGAAGCTCAGGGAGTGACTGACCATTGGTAAGGGCTGACCTGAGAAGGCTTGCATTTGGTCTTCATGCCACTATGTGAGAAGGGCCATGACTTATACTTACAGCTTCTAACATACATTAGTTTATTCATTCTACCAGAAATTTGGTGTGGGATGATTCTTGGAGTAACACTAGTTGACTACCATGATCTGACAAATTTTAGTTCTCATACTATTACAGTAAACTTAAGAGAGAATATATAAACTAAAGAGCCTTAATTTTGCTTTCATTCTTTTACTGAGAACAAAATTTACAAGGCTTTTCTTTTTGTATTATTTTTATATTTTCTTGTACATTAAATTATAGGAAGCAATAAAAATGAGACATAAGAAACAAACACCATAATTTTTGCCTGGACTTAGTTCTAAATGTGACTGATAAAATGAAAAGAATAAATTATGTATGTCTGCTCACCTAGACCTCTTACAAAAAAAAAAAAGTTGAGTTTTTATAAAATGGGCATTTAAGATCTCATTACCATTTCAATTGTTTCTAAGTCAACTGGTAATAATAAAGGCAATAACAACAGGTTCCATTTATTGAGCACTTTGCTTTTTCCAGGTTCTTTCTGCTGGGCACTTTCCCAGACAATCTCACTTAGTACTCACAACAATTCCATGTGGCTAGGATGATCATTTTCATTTTGTAAAGGAGAAACTTGCCCAACTAATAAGAAGCAGAACCAAACAAAAACAATGGTAATACATAGTCACACAATTCCAAATCTATGCCCTTGTTAACATAATGCACTACCACACTGATAGTAATTTTTACTCAAGACCAGTAAGTTAGTTTAAGAATTGGTTGTTTTTATTTATTCACTCATTGCACTGACATGTTTTTACTTATTGACAGCCTAATCTGTGCCAGTCAGTGCACTAGACGTTGAAGATCTAGCTATGAACCAGGAAAGTACAGGCCTGATAAATCCCACAAAGAGCTCATAGTTCAACTGTGTGCATGAATAGTTTCTTAAAAGACACCCAGATATTGTTATTGCCTGGTACCTGATGAACTGACAGGGTCAAAGTAGCTCTTGCATAAAGTCACTCTCAGTGTAATAATTCATTGCTTGGGAGTGTGGATGTTATGTGGTAGGATCAATAGCATCCTGTTTCAACAGACTGCTGTGAAGGTAATTGGAAGAAGAGGGTAGGGAGATATTAAGAAGGTCCAGATATGGGGAAACAATGAAGAAAAGCAGGGTCAAGGAATGAAGAAGACCACTTGGTTTGGGCTCCTTGTAGGAACTGAAACTATTAGAAAGCTGCATGATTAGAGATAATTTCTCAAAATGAATCCAAATTCTAAGGCTTTCACATTTTCCTCATCATGAAAATTTTTATGAATCAGAGGCCATAAACATTTGTGGCCATGTAGGACATGTCAGGTATGTTTAAACAAAAGAGAAGCAAATATCAGGCCACAAGTCAMCACTCACCCTTGGTATACCGCAATATCCTTTCCACCAAGACAGGGTATTTTGTGATGCGCTGAGTGACCAGGAGAATGCATTCTGGAATTCCTCGGCGACGAGCCAAAAGATTACTATTTCGGAGCTTAAAATAAAAATACATTTTATCTACTACTTGCATTTACTTTTTATGTTCAAATTTAATAATACAAAAATTTCTACAACAGTACAGTTCTATTCAGATGTAGCAGAATATTTATCTTCATTCAGTAAAACTTGATGCATTGTCCTTAAATTTTACACTCTGCCATTAGTTTCAATGCCCCAAGACTCAAAGATTTCAAGAAATGTCAAGTTACTTGGATGTATTTTTATTTAACTCCAAAAGTGAGCAAGTTATCAGGATTTCTGAGTAGCAAAACTTTTGGAAAAGTAATCAGAAATCAAAGTTAATTTTGAAGATGAGGTTGTGGTTTACTATTTGTTTTTCTGACATGTCTCCCACTACATTTCTTGTTACACATTGTAGTGCTTAAAGTTTCTTCAAATCAGGGCAACTTTCTCCTAAACATTTCAAAATATTCCTTCAGATTTCAATTACTCAACACACATGTACATGGGGAAAAAATAGAGGAGAATCTGGTAGCATTCTTAAAATGGTAGATAAAAATTTAGAATCCAACATGCTTTACAAGACAAAATTCTTCCACAAATAAACTGGAAAAGAGGGTAGGGGAGAACACTCAAGTTAGAAGAGATTTAAGATATATAACCACCATACACTGCAAGTGAACACTGGTCAGATCCTTATTAAAGCAATATGGTTTCATGAGATAAACAGAGAAATTAAAAAATATGAAAGAAGTATTGCTAATTTATTTGTGATAATGTCATCGTATTTTTAAAAGATATATTGCTTAGAGGCACACATTATAGAGGAAATTATATGATATCATGTATCATATTATGATGGATTTTATGTTTGCTTTTACTCTGGGTTTTCTGATATATAATCTATCAGGGCATGAAATAGCTTCCCAAAACACTACAAATATTCTCAGAAATTTGGAGGGCATGACCTCCAAAAATATAAGATACAAACAAATATAAGATACAAACAGAAATTATTTAGGAGAAGTATTTTACTAACAGAAAAAGAGACTTTCCTTCTTTGCCACAAACCCATCACTTCCTTCTCCTTCCCCTGAGAATTAGAACCCAGATATGAAACTTGTTTAAATCATACAAGGACCAAGAATGAACTATTTCCCTGTGCTGGTTTACCACTTTGGAATAAAATTTTACACTACTTGCCTTGATAAAATTCTGAAACTTTTTATTCTGCTGGAGTTCTTTAAAAAGGCTAACAGCTTCTTTGTGGTGGCTACAGAATTCACCGTATATTTTCTTCATCTTACTGGCATTTTCTTCTGAAAACTGAGAAGAATAACATTTCAATATTGGTTTACAAATTTAGGAAGTTCTAAACACAGAAAAGAACACTCAATTCTCTTACATTTCAAAACATTCCTTGCAAATAAAGAACAAACATCATGGAATTTCTGAACATAATCACTTCTTTTCCCCAGGCACTTTTTAAATAAAAATAAAAGGGAGTTGTTGAGTGATGAGGTTCAACCTAATGAGATTAAGTATTTTATATGTACTGAACTAATAATCAAACAGCCAAGTAAAAACATTTGTTGTCATCATTTTCTTTTTGTTGTTGTTGTTGTTGTTGGGTGTGTGTGAAACTTTATGATTTCAATTTGTAATTTTAGTACCTTTATAGATTGAGTGTCCATACATCTCAAAAGGATCAAGAGTCAGACTATTTTTAGCCCAGATGAAAATAAAATGATGAATAACCAGAATGTCAACTAATTAATTGATAAGAAGAAGAGATATAGACTTGAAGTTTCAATAAGCCTGACCTGCCAAAAAGTAGCTGTAGAAAAATCTGCGCAGGAATCAACTTAGAGTCATGGGTGGTGTTGAGAGAATTAGCTGACTGATTTGAGTGCCAGTTTTTTAACCTATGATAGATAGCTCTATGTACACATGCTCACACTGAAGATCACAGAAACAGAAACCAGAATATCTACATCCCCCTTTGAAAAGTACTTCAAATTTATATCACTATCTCTAATCTTTTCATTTTTGCTTAATTTTTATCTATGTTTGAGGTCCATATACTTCAAAAGTGATCCTTAATCCAGTTACAATTGCTAAAAAATTGACCATATAGGACTTGTATACTGAAGACTCCACAATGCTAATGAAAGAAATCAAAGAACTAAATAAATGGAGAGCCATACCATGTTCACAAATTGGAAGACTCAACCTAGTAAAGATGTCAATTCCCTCCAAAACTGGTATACAGTTTTAATGTAATTCTTAAAAAGAAATCCAGGCAATCTTTTTATATCTTTATAAATATAGATAAGGCTGTCCTAGAATTTATATGAAATGGCAAAGGAAATAGCATAACAATTTTCTAAAGAATAATAAAATAAGGCACCTTCTTCCAATTTCAAGATGCATTATATAGGTACAGTTATTAAGACTATATGGAAAGAGTGGCACAGAATAGAAATCTAGGGAACTCAACCGATTTTTGACAAAGGTGCAAAAGTAACTCAGTAGAGAAAGAATAGCCTATTCAATAAGAAATAATGCTGAAGCAATTGGATGTCTATACCCCAAAAACAGAAAAGAAAAGAAAACCTCAACCTAAGTTTCATAACTTTTTCTTTTACAAAAATTCAAAATGAAACATAGACTTAAATGTAAAAATGAAACTACAAAACTTTTAGGAAAAAAATTGGAGAAAATCTTTGAGATTTACGGCTAGACAGAGAGTTCTCAGATCTGAAATCAAAAACACAAACCTTACAGGGAAAAATAGATACACTGAACTTCATCAAAATTAAGGCAAGTTAAAGAATTTGAGAAAATATTTACACACCATATATTCAACAAGAAAATTAATATTTCAAATATGAAAAAAAATCTCAATATTCAATAAGAAAAAAATCCAGTTATAAAATGGGCAAAAGGCATGAATAGACATTTCACTGGAAAGAATATATAGATGACAAAAAAGCATATGAAAACATGTTCAACATCACTAGCCATTAGGGAAATCCAATTTAAACCACAACAAAATATCATTACATACCTCTCAGGAGAGCTAAAAAAAGACAGTCACAATATCAAATGCTGGTAAGGATGCAGAACAGCTGGATTGTTGATATATTGTTGATGAAAATACAAAATGGTAAACCACTCTAGAAAACAGTTGGAAGTTCCTTACAAAACTAAACATACAACCACTATACAATCCAGAAATCACAACCCTGGGCATTTATCCCAGTAAAATAAAAACTTAACTTTGCACAAAAATTTATACATGAATGTTTATAGTGTATTTACTTATAATAGTCCAAAGCCTGAAAAAAATAACACCCTTCTACAGGAGAATGATTAAACAAACTGTGGAACATCCGTACCATGGACTATTTCTCATAAAAGGAAATGAACTACTGACATACACAACCACTAAGATTTTTCTTGAGAGAATTATGCCGAGTGAAAACTGCTAACTCCCAATTACATAATTTCATTTACACAGTATTATTGGAATGACAAAATTATGAAGCAGAACAGGTTAGGGGGTGCCAGGAGTGAGAGAGAAGGTAGGGACATGAGGAAAGGACACAGAACTATAAAGGCCAGATGAAGAAACCATGTGATAGAAACATTCTGTGTCTTGACTGTATTCATGTCGGTATCTTGGTTGTGATATTGTAATAGTTTTGCAAGATGTTACCATTGGGGAGAAAACAATTAAAAATTTTAGCTAGGCATGGTGATACATGCCTGTAATCTCAGAAACTCAGGAGCTGAGGCAGGGGGATCACAAGTTCAAAGCCAGCCTCAGCAACTTAAAAAGCCCTAAGAAACTTAGTGAGACCCAATCTCTAAATAAAAAGGGATGGGGATATGGCTCAGTGGTTAAGCACTCCAGGACTCCAATCCCCAGTACCTAAATAAATAAGTAGATATGCCATACCCAAGATCTCACCTCAATCCCAAGGAAACAAAACCACTGAGAGTTAAAGCATAGATTACTTATTTTTAACAATCTTCAAGTGATCCTTATGTATCTGAAGATGAAAAACTATTGTTTTAGATCAAATTCCTCCTGTCCGCAATTTCTCTCCAAGAATTCGCACTGATCAAATCATATCATATTCCAGCCTAGCCTCTGAGATCATAAGAAGTTTCCATGGTTAGACTGTGGGATTTACCCAAACCCACCTCTTGTACACTCTTAAACAGCCTGTCTCTTTTACCCAAATCCATTATCTGAGGATGAATAGTTTGTAAATGTCTTTATTTACAAACTATTGGGGTTCCCCTTTCTACATCCACTATGCATGGCCAATGACTAGAACCCTTTTCTCTGAATACCAAGGTCCTTTCCCCAAAAGGAAGTGTGTGCTTCATCCAAGAGACCACCAGGCTCATCCTTCGTGACAGAAAACTATCCAAACTTGTTCTCAATTTAGGCCCCAGGTTTATTGACAAAAATTAAATAAATATAGAACTAATAGAGATGTGTAATGTTTGTAACTATGAAAGGAACTGAAGAACTAAAAATGGCTTAAATTGTTAGATTTAAAACAGTAAAATAATGATTATTTCTATCAAGGAGACAGACATGCAAATAATTTCAAATGACAAAATCAAAATCTTGCTTTTCATTTTAAAATATACTTAGTTTCATGTTCATTTAGACACATTTGGACATTTTTATTTAAACCATCTTGCAAAGTATTTTGGAGTTGCTTAACTTGGCCTTGCTACTTGGCACAAAACCTTTCTGGTGAATGAGGAGGATAGAATAGGTCTAGGGCTTTAATCCGCAAAGAAGATATCTCTTTGATCAAAAATTGTTATTATGATTTAGACTTTTACATTGTTAGATATGTAGCTGTAGCAACTTGGCAACAAATATTAAGTTATGTTTTTGTGCATTAAAAATATTTGTATTTAAGCATATTTATATCAATGAACTTAACACCTCTGTTTTTAGCATATAGAACAACAGCTTAATCCCATTGGCACATGTGGCAGAATGAAACTGCTTCAAAAACGTTGTGTGAGAAGATGGCACTTTGGCATCTACCTAGGAAAAGCTGTACTAAAGCCATTATGTATAGATATCCAGGCCTTTCCCCAGGTGCTTACGGCAACTGTAAAATTCCTGATGTTTTTCCTGACATGACCCATTCATTTATAAACATCATAGTACCAAGCACTGCTCTAGGTGCTGAAAGACAGTAGTAACCAAATAGATAAGAATCCCTGTCTCACTGAAACTTAGGGTCCAGTGTTAGCAAACCCTTCCCATGAATGTCACAATGGATGTTCCAAGACCCCACATTCTTAGGTTGTCTTGATCAAAGAGCAGATTTTGACTCAAATCCCAGTTATGCAACCTATGAGATGTGTTATGACTAAAGAAAGTCACTACCTATGCAATGGGAAAAACAGCATTGACCTTACAGTGTCATGAGAGTTAAATGAAGAACAAAAATGGCTTAAATGAAAAGCATGAAAGCATTCTAAAAGTGCCTACCATATGGGAATCACATAATAAAGGTTATCACACCTTTCTATGAGAGTGTTTTTTAATAAGTCCTTCAGAGAGACAGTGGACAGTCAAGTAACAGGTGGTTGCCATTACTGTATTAGGAGAGGGCACAGCCCTTCTCACTGATGCTTCAAACATTCCAAGCACTTGAAGTGAGGTTTGCTCATCTTGTTCCCCAAGCATGAGCTCCAGAGCTCTAATGATGACAGATTTCCCTCACTCTCCCTGAGATGAGCCTATATTTGTCTGGGAGATATTAGTGAGACCATCACAGTCCCACTGGGAAGCCGTGTTATCAGAGAGTGCATCACATCAAAAAGTCTAAGTGGGATGTTCATCAGGAGATTCACTTATGACTGTGATTCCTGGTAGAGGCAGCAATGGGATCAGAGATAATCTAGCCCCGTTCGGTGACAGAGTGGAGTCAAGTCATTGGCTGCTGGAAGCTCTCCGACAACCATCTTACAAACCAACATTCAATGAAAGAAAACCAACCGAACCTATCTGATAATAACTGTAATGAAATCAACTCTTTAGGTTTCAAAGCTCTGTAAAGAGTTTGAAAACCCTTTCTTACCTGTTGTACCAAAATATCTCCAATTTGGTTGATCACAAAATTCCTGTCGTTGTCCACACAGGATTCCTGTCTGCGTTCCTTCATGCAGTAGAAGAAATGCCTGTGGATTTCGAGCAGCTCATCTAAACAGGGGAAGATTTTATCCACAGTGCTATGGTCCAGCTGCAGCTCCTCCTTCATACCTTTCCTGAAGACCTCAGACATGATGAGCAGGGTCTGGATGTGGTGCATTTCTGTTTGCATTAGCTCTGAAAGGCGTCAGCAGAAACATGTTCTAAACAAGCTCTAAAACACAAGTGTCACTGTTGTCCCAAATCAGGAGCCCAACATTCTATGTTATGCAAATAAGGAAGAAGGAATGTTTAGAAAGGACAAGAACATTTTTTCCAATATAAAAGTTAGTGTTGGCTTCACATTTAACTGAAGCTCAAAATATTAAGTCATTTTCTTTTTTCCAGATAATGAAAGAAGAATCATAAGGAAGTCAATTCTCATACATAACGATCAAATATATCTGGAATCCTTACAACTAACTAGCAACTTTAGGGCCTTCCACTGGGAACTAGGGCCCATTGCAACCTGAATGCTTCTTTCTTTCTTTGGTTTTTGCACTGACTGGAAGTACAATTAATTGTGCACAAGTGAATTGGTGAATTTACTTGAACTAAATATAATAAAGTCCCTCAATGCAGATAATAGTAGGTTCTTTCTATTGCAAGATGCTCCCCAAATACCACTTTCTGTAGAGGAAAATGATACATCACAATGACAGAACCCCCCCCCCCCCCCGATTAGTTGAAAGTGGTCATTGGGACTCCTCTGGACTGACTTGTTGAAGATGGATTACAGTAGGGACAAGAAGAGGAAATAAAGTGCCCTGCAGGNCCAAAAGTGAAAAAAGATGATCCTAAGAATAGGAAAAAAAATCTTTTAAATTACATATCTGATAGGGACTTATATCCAGATTATAGGAAAAACAACTCAAAAATGGGGAAAAAAACCTTAAATAGGCAAAAGATTTGAATAAATGTTTCTCAAATAGGTATACAAATGGTTGACAGCACATAAAATGATGCTCAAGAGGCCTGAAGGGTGTGGCTCAGTGGTAGAACACTTGCTTAGTGTGAAAAGCCCTGGATTAGACTCTGGCACCACCAAGAAGAAGGAAAAGGAAAGGAGAAGGAGAAGAGAAGAAAGAGGAGGAGATGGAGGAGGAAAGATGCTCAATATCATTAGCCATTTGGAAAATGCAAATCAAAACCAAAATAAGACACCAGTTCATACACACTAGAATAAACATAATGAGAAAAGATGGACAAAAACAAGGGTTGGTAAGGATGTGGAGAAAGTAGAACCCTGGAACCCTCATACATTGCTGGTAGGAAGGTAAAATGGTATTGCCACTTTATAAGGCAGTCTGGTAGTTCCTCTAAAGGTTAAAAATAAAGTTACACATGTGACCCCAAAAGTGGAAACAACCCAAAATGTCCATCAACTGATGATTAAATAAAAAGGAATACTAGCCATAAAAAGGAATGGAGTGCTGATATGTATTACAACTAATATGAACCTTGAAAACATTATGCTAAGAGGCAGGAGCCATTGCAAATACCATATGTTGCTAAATGTCCAAAAGAGGCAAGTCCTTAGGGACAGAAAGTAGATGAGTGGTTGCTGGATGCTGCTGGAAGGGGTAACGCAGACATTTGAAGCAATACAAATGTTCTGGAATTAGATGAAGCTCCATGGTAGCATAACTTTGTTAATTCACAAAAAATCATTAGATTGTACACTGCATGTGAGGGATCTTATTGTATGGAATTACATCTTGATTTTTTTAAATGCAACATGAGAGAAAATAATAACTGTGGAAATACCAGAAATATAAATTCTGGGTGTTTATTTCCAGAATAAACACTGTACTTTTTGAGAACAAAATCTAAAATATCATCCTTGGAGAGCAAATAAGTCTAAAAATAGCTTTATTACTTTATCATAAACAAATCTTTCACTGGGAACCCACTGACTTTTAACAATTATTATTTTCCACTGTATTTTTAGTGCCCATTCTGTACTAGGCACTTTTCCATATCATTTCATTTAATCCTTTAATCCATTTGCCATTATGACCCCCCAAATAGGAACAATTATCCTCATCTTTAAAAGGGAAACAATGTGAAAAGAAGGGTGAAGGATTTTTCCCAGATTTTGCCTTTCTGAGGCCAAAAGCCATGTTATATGTAGTCATCCATAACCCAAATTACTTAGGTTATTTTTAATACTATGTGAAATTGATGGGTAATTGAAGAAGGACAGTATAATATAAATGATTAAGAAATACTAAAAGGGACAGTCCTTTCTTTCCCAATGGTCTCCCACATCCATAGCCCCTGGCAGGTTTTAAAGCACACTCATCCCTCATCTGACCTGCCTGTCACCTGAGGCAGGTGTGAAGGTGGCCTCCTCAGCAGACAACTTACAAACACAGGGTCAGGGAAACGAAGAGCCTGTTACAAAGCTCTTTGTTAAAGTAGGGCATCTTCTTGAACTACGGTTTAGCACAGACTTTGTACTTAAAATTTCTTTTAAGACTTCATTTTTTCCCGATTACACTATAATTTAACTTCCCCTATTTTACACTAACACCACTCCATATAGCATGAAATAATGAAATCTCACCACAGTTGAATTTTACACTCAGGACTGTGGCACTCAGTTGAACTTATCTATATGTATGGGACCTGGTACATACATTCAAAGGCTGTACCAAGGAACCCTGTCTCCTCTATGTTAAATACGTGAAAATTCACTGTGACTCTTAAATAAAAGAGGTAAGAAAGTGTAGGCCAAACCTAAGTAAATCTAAAAAGAGTATGAGAAATAAAACCTGTTTTATACCAGGTACATACAACACCACATTTAAGTCTCACTGTCATTGTCGGTTTTGTTTTTGTAATGCTCAGGATGGAACACAGGGCCTCGCATCAGACTTTTTAAACCTGAGCTTCATTATCCCCAATCTGTAGGTGGAGAAACTGAGGTCTAGATGAGTAAAGTCATTTGTCTGAGATCAGGCAACCAGGAAATGGTAAAACTGGGATTCCATGCTCTTTCCTCTGAACCACACGGCTCCAGCCCCAAGACATATTTGAAATGCTTACCAAAAATGACATCCTGTCTTTTAATGACATCCTTCTCCTGCCTACTGCAAAAGGAAGGATCCACCACAAGACTCCAGGATTCTGCTTCAAACTCCTGGGCATCACTGCTGAGGTCACTCCACAGAGAAGAATCCACTACATCTAATATGTGTTTAGAAAAGAAAACACACAAAGTAACCACACAGCTCAAACAGACCTTTCAAGTTCTGTTTGCAGGTTCAGCACAGCAAATAAAGCTGCTATGAACACAGAAACTCCTCAGCCAGAATACTGGCTTGTGGAGTCAAAACACTGAGAACCAGAAGGATGAAATGGTCCAAATCAAGACAGCTTTCGTGTAAGCAAAGAAGAATCAGATATTAAAATAGTGATTGTATCTACGGGGGAAAAAAGAAAATTAAAGGTAATTTTGTTTATTTTGGCTTGCTCTATTTTAGGAAATTTTTGGAATCTACAATGTGCCTATAGGACCTCAGGCTCACTGATTTTTTTTTTCAATCTAATTTGCTATTTGCTCAGATCTGAGTTTTGAACTTGACCACTTGGTTTGCTCTTGACTTGGCAAGACACAAGGCAGAGCATAAGAATTTGAATCTCAGGTGAGTAAAGATTTTCTTGATAGAATCAGGCACACATACACAAATGCCCTTCAGGAAAACTCACCCTTATTGGCTCTAAATAGCACTCATTAGAGAGATTCCAACTCATCACAATAAAGATGAGATGACAAAGGATTTAAAGAAAGAGTTTCCTGGAACAGGGTCCAACCCTCTCTTGTCAATATTCTCCTTCTGTTTGGTTTCCCTTCACTTACTGATGCAACTTGGATACAAAAGTCAATTCTCCATATTCAAAACTGAACTATAAAATATGCTTTAAAAATGTTTTTATGCCATTAGGAATCAGATGCAACAGGTAGGAAAAAGTATCTCAGAGATCCAGGCAAGACCAGGGTTAACAAATTAAAGTATGTATTTTCATGTAGGAGCCATTTCAATCCATCAATACCTGTAAAACATTTTTTAGTATAAGCACACAATGTATTTTATTCTCTTTGCTGTGTTCACTGCCTAATCTTTTGGGGAATATGTCCATTTAAAATTTGCAACATATTTTCTGAGCACTATTCCCTGGTTATTTCCTTTAAAACTAAATTTCCCTTATTTTTAAAAGTAGAGCCTATAGCAAAGAGACACCAAGAAACAGATTTCTTTCAGAAAGAACAAATGAATATTCTTCAGAAAAAAATTTATTTCAGCAAATGCTCACAGAAGCACCAATAAATGGAAATGCATCTTCTCCTCACCTTCCATCATGAAAGACTCTGTGGAGGGAGAAGAGCCCACAGATTGTAGCAGCTCATCGGAGTGAGACCTGCTTCGCCAGTTGTTACTGTCACCCTCAGATTCCAATGATGTCCCTGACCTTCTGAAGCTGAAAGGGAGGGAGGAAGAGGAGAGGAGTTAGCTCCAGCAGCCTGTCTGAGCCACAAAGGTGAGACAACAGGCTGAGCCTTACCTTTCCAATGTGGTGCCTGGAACGCTTCTGGACAATGGATGGACTTGCCCTGCAGTGTCCTTCCTTCCAGCTGGCAATCCGATAGGCATGGACGAAGAGGGGTGCAGGGAGAGCCCAGGCTGTGGGATGTCTCTCACTGAAGAACCTGGAAATCAGAGTAGAAACTTCATGTGGTTCTGATAGAGGACAGCAATTACAAGTAAAGAAAGCCACTTCAAAGCCCGAAGGGTAAACCCTCAAACAGTCACTTCTAAGGTGTTGCATGCTCACACTTGAAACTGGTCTCCCTGCCACATCTTGACACTCGCTTCAGATGCCCCTTCTTTCTCATGCTCTCCCGACACCATGCTTCAGGCCTTCTACTGCATCTCCACTTGGAGATTGTGGGTGTTTGGAATGACACAAGCAAAAGAGGAAATGGAATGGGGAAACACTGGGAAGCTCTCCCATAAACCACAGCTTGTATTCCTTAAAGTGAGCTTTAAATAGATGCAAGGTGTTATTAGCACTGTTACTAGAATGCACACTGTGTGTGTAAACACGGATACACACAGGGAGGGCGTGTCAATGGAATGGAATGATGCTGGGGAGATTATTCCTCATGGTGTACGAAATCCAGACAAAGGAAACCTGCAAACCCAGCTGGGCTGTTCTCTTTTCACATACTGAAAACTAAATGGTGTTTCCATACTTTTCTGGCCAGTTCTAGAATGTTCTAGGCATAAACATATGCATTTACATTTGATATGAACCATAAATGACTCTCAGAAAATATTGCAGTCCCATAATATTAGAGTCATGGTATACATATTTTCAGGCAAGGAAGGTGGAAATTCACAGATATCAGGATATTACAGGGGATTTTATACATGTGTGATTTGTTCTCATGATTATCAAGAGGAAGGTCACATGATATCTTATCAATTCTAAGATGTGTTTCATTTTCACACTTAACCTTATCAAATAGAGATTGAAAGACTTCTGAAGTCACAGGGAGTAAGTGACATAACAGCTATTACTGCCTCCACTAACTTAACCTTGTGTAATATCACACCAAATGGCAGGTTCCATGACTTTGCATACCTAGTTATCCCCCAATTGAAGTGGTTTTCAAAATATCAGTCACATTCTGTTATAGCATTGAAATGAAAAGTTATCATGCACTTAAAATTCCTGCTGCATGTCAGGCAATAAAACTTTAGGTAGAAGAAATGGCAAAATCTCTCACAATAAATAAATCATTTTCAAACTTAGGAGACATGAGTCTGACTGGTTCTTGAATGTAATGCAAATAACTCTCAAAGGTCACAATTACTTTCAAGAGAAACTGTTTAAATTTCAGCAATGGAAAAAAAAAACAGAACCACCAAATTTTGAAATGTAAAAACAAAACTCCTATATACCTTGGAATTTCACCATCATCCTAAAGGTAGTAAGGAGTACATAGCTTCAAGATTGCTAGTCAAAGCACCAAGTTGCCATGATAATGGACAAGGACTCATAAAAATCTTGGGGTCTAAAACAGACTCTAAACTCAAACCTTTTTTCTTTCACCAAACTTTGTCATTCTTAAGAAGAACGAGGTACATATCAGCATAGATAAATTTGTGTACATAGGTACATTTAATGTAGTGTCTTTTGCCTCAAAAGCTTATTAAATCAATATAGTACATTGTACTAGATGGCATCTGAAAACTGAGGCAATCAGATGATAACTTTTCCTTACAGTCCTCTTTAGTACAGAAGATAATACAGTTCATATAATTCAAAAGCTTTCTGACTGTCAGAGACATGATATCCTTCTTAACCTTGATGCCTAAATAAAAATTACGCCAAGCATATGTTATGAAAGAAGAAAAAATATTGGGCAAATGAGAAAACAAAAGCAAGAGGTATTTTTAACAATAAAAAAATGTGTGGTGTGTATTAACTTTTAAAGTTCTTGTCATTTTCCACATCACTTACTTCCATGGATGGTCTGTGGTTTGTTCTTGTTATATTTCTCTTGGAATTTCTGGTAAAGAATATTAGAAACACATAAAATAAGATCAAAGTGCCAGTGGGCTATAAGAATGTGCACACAGTTACACAGAATAGAATTCTCATCTGTATCATTTTTCTTATTTTATTTATTTCAAACAAAGAGGAACTCAAAGCAAAAGACATCAAATGCAATGAAGAACTTAGGTGTATCAACAATGAAATGTGCAATGATGAAGGTGAGCCTCATAAATGCTCCATTTCATTAAAAGCCTCAGGGCAACCAGACATCTCCAGTTCCTGTTTTCAGACCCAGAGTGAAAGAGGAGCTCCTACCAACACTGCCTTTATCCTCCTATTTCTTTCTACTCCTTGATTCCTGACTGCAGGAGATGACCACCCAGCACTGAAACATGACTTTCTAGAACAGCCTCAGTTCTTGATCCCAAACAATACACATTTCAGTTAACACAGAGGTTTCAAGACTTCAAGTTTCCCACTGAAAAAACATCATGCACTTTTGACATAATGTGGAATGAAGAGAAAGAACAGAAATCATATGTCTCCATCCATGCAAGCCCACCCCAAAGACAGAGAACATCCCTCTAGTCCAGTGGCCTCCAAGTGGGAACTCAGCAACATCAGCAAATCCTGGAATGTGTTAGAATACACATTATCAGTCCCATTTAGACCTACAGAATCAGAGATTGTGGAGGTAGGGCCCATAAATCTTCCAGGTAATTCTTGTGTTGGCTCATTTTTGAGAATTGCCATATGCTCTTCATTTAGGAGTACTCAGGAATTGGAACTGGTAAAGCAAGCAGGTCTCCACAGGAAGCCTGACCCCCACATATCGCACCCACACCATTTAACACAAATGGTCACACTTGGGCTTCCCTCTATTTCTACATTGTACAGTTTAGTACATAACCATACACTTTGAGGATGTTTTCCCACTACAATGATCACTGTAGAAATAAATTTAGGGAGAATAAGAGTTAAATCTCAAACAGGTGATAGGATATAGACATGTATATTCAGCAAAGAGAGATTACCTTGGTGCACGGAGGCATGGCGTCTTTACAACCCTTATGTACATTTGCGTTACAGTCTGAAATAAAAGGAAAAGATTCAAAAGCCACCATCTTATTTATGTGGATCTGAAATGAGTAAGACCACATCGTGCTTTCATTAGTCACTATAAAAATAACATATAAGTGCTAGCAATACTTAGAAAACTTAAGGAAAGACAAATACTCAAATCACAAATAGCTCTTCCTAAGCTCTTCCTAAGTGTTGGAATTTCAATTTCCTTGGAGATATTTTTAATCTTCTGCAGTTATTTTATCAATTCTGAAACCTGGCTTTATGTATATTGGGCACTGCTGCCCCTGCCTGAGAATGAACCTCCTATCCTATGCATTATGCTTTGAAGGGATTTTTGACAGCTGGCTGGTAGCAGCCTCCCACTCCTATACCAGGTGAAAAGTCCAGGACAGTGGAAACAAAAAAAAACAAAAAATGCCAAGGTCGTGGGGATAGGGAACAGGGTGCTATTGTCAGTTACAACAAGAGTTCCTGACTCGAAGTTTGAGATAGGCATATCTGGAAAGATAAGTTAGCCACCATTCCAGATTTTGTATCAGAAAGCAACATAAAAACACATGGCTTTATCTCACTGGAAGACAGGGAAACCCTCTATACGCCTTGCTACTCTCTGCCCACAAGCCCAGGGACCAGGCTCTCTTCAGGGAAACCTGTGCCATCTTCCTTCCCTCTCCTCCTCCCTGTCTCCCCACCACACACCCCACCCTCTCACTTTACCCACCCACATACTGCATCTTAGCTAGAGAAGCCTGTGATGGATTAGAAACTCCTTTAGCAGATATTTTTCTATGGGGATAGAAGACACCAGTTTAGCCTGTCAGAGCCATGCTGGATAAGAGCCAGTCACCTACTGTGCACTGGGTGAGATACAGAACCCCACAGTTGTTCTTGAGCTGCAGGTATAAAGGGGCAGTTTAGCCAACACCCCCACAGCCTAGGAGCAGAGCCAAAGGCACACTACACACTAGCCCTCCTGGCAAATCCACCGGCTCTCTCCTCATTCCTGAGCAAGTAAAAAAAGGAAAAAGAAAAAAGTAGCACCTCTGAGATTCCAGAGTACAAGGCTACACTGAAACTCAGGGAAAGAGCAAGTCACTGAATATAAAGTCCAGCAGTAGAGAAGAAAAATGTAGATACTTGAACTAAAAGACAGAAGATAAGGCTTCAGTGACATAGGACCAAGGCCAGGAAGGGAGAACAGGATGTGAAGACAGGCCAATGGGGTAAGAGGAAAATGGAACTTCATGAGACAAGTGGGGACTGCGAGGACATGGACGGGGAAGCGCAGAGTGTCAGCTGACAAGACGGGATGCATCAGGGTGACAAAAATATCAAAGGCATGCTAGAAACCAAACTTGAAAGATTCCCTCCTGAATGTGGAGAAGACAGGTATGATTATATAACACAAGATGCCACAGAAAGAAGGCAGATATCAGAGATCATATTTACCCAAGGAGGAAATCAGGAAAAGTAGATCAGAAGCAACAAGGTACAAAACATGAGGACATTATGATGCTGCAAAGAGCACACCCAAGGTCTCCCTGTCTTCTAAGAAAAATAACTAAATAACAACTATCCCATAGACACATTCTGACAATACCCACGTGATTAAAAATGTTTAAGTCCTCTAACATCCAAGCAGAAAAAAGGGAGGTCACCGATAAGAGTCCCTTCAGGCAGCCCCAGACTTTGCCACTGTAATAGGAAGAGCTCAAGGAGGACCAATCCTTGAGGCAGCACCAAAGGAAAAGATAGTAGTTCAAGGTTTTATTTAGCTAGGTAAGTTGTGTGAATGAGCAAAGATACGGCCCTTCCATACACAAGGTTTCAGAAAACAGAGCAATCCTATTCCAGCCCAAGAGAGCAGAATCAAAAGTGAGGGTTCAAGAATAGATTGGCTGTATTAAAAAAAAAAAGAAAGGAAGGAAGGAAGGAAAGCAAAAGCCACCAGGAAAATAAGCATATCTAAAAGTTGTTGTAAGTAGAGATGCAGAATGGAAAAAATAAATAAATAAAAAAGTCAAATTTTTCTTCAGATAGAAAATTTTTCTTGAAAGATTAAATGTACAATATAAAAAAGTAATATAATAATTATAATAATTAACTTGGTATATTAACTGAGGTTGGGGGAAAGGGTAAACAGAAGGAAAATAAAAGAGTATTAAATTATTAGCCTTACTTAGCCTTAAAGCCTTCATTAGTAGATATTAAAAGAGTGTATTGAGCCAAATCCTGTGAGAAGATAAAAGCGAAGGACACATGGTCTAAATAGCTAAGCCAAACATCAAGGAAAACAGCAATGAGCCATAAAAGACAGTTGGAAGCAGTAAAATTAAATGTAAATAAGAAAAACTCTTTGCTATAAAACAAGCTCGTTCAGTTGTGTTGCAGATCACCTCTAGCTAAATTCAAGGCACACGCCCCAAGTCAGAACCACAGGGGTAGTGAAGGGAAATGTAAAGAAGAGAACAAAAGGAATTTTCATCTCAGACAAAGTAAAATTTGTCATAAAAGACATGTAATGGAGTTAAAAAGGGTAGTTTTCAGTTAAATCTGCAATGAAGGTGTGATTTTTAAAATTTCTGCCTACCAGGTTAAGGTAATATCAAAATATAAGCAGGGAAACCTATTTATAAACATAGGGAATTTCATAGAAATACAATTTTTGGAAAAAAAATTAGCAACTCTAACAGAGAAAAAAGGGACACAGGGATTTACATGTTGTTTCATATCATATCATGTTTTAAGATTAGAAATATTAGCCATTGTTATTAAAAACAAAAACATACTCAAAGACTATGGTTGTCTACCTAGCAGAGACTGTCTATCATACCTTGTTACCCAATGTAAAAACTTATTAAACAAAAGCTAAAGAACCAACGCCCTTCTCCCCCCTTTAAACAACAACAACAACAACAACAACAACAACAAAACTATAAATTTTAATACTAATTCTAAAAAAATTATGGGTTAATAAAAAAGTCAAACATACACTTTGACTCATACATATTGATTCTGGAATTTAATCTACAGGAATAATTGAAGATGTGGGTGGTGATAGGTGCAAAGGAATGTTCGTTTATGTTGTAAAAAAATTAGAAAAAACTGAAATGTACAAAAAGACTTGAATACCTTTGACATCACCATCAAATGAAACATTATCATGAAAAGCTGATATAATATTTTTGTGGTTAGAAGGCACTCCAAAATAGTAATTTTTTCTAAGTGGTAAATTTTAAATAATTTTAAATTTCTCCTTAAATCTTATATCTTTTATGAATCTGAATCCATTTTTTTTAAAAAAGGAATAACTGTTTTAACAGCTAAATATGTTTTAAGTACTTCCAACAAATTCCATCTTTCACTGCAACCTCCATCAAAATCCACAGTATCAACCCACTAAGAACCAACATTTTGTTTACTACAAGTCTCCTTTCCATTGAGCCCTGGCTCCCTGGTTTTATCAGTCATCCACTGGGCCTGAGTGTCTAAGAGCCAGCTCTGTGGTGGCTGCTGTAGGGGCTACCCAAGAGTCACCACCATTAAAGTCCTTAAAGAACTTGGTCTATTTTAGTAGTTAAACTCCAGAAGGGTTTACATAGCCCAGTACTAAATAGAATAGGAGCAATATACCACAAATGTGATGGAATTTGGACCACAGAAGACAGGAAAGACCTGCAAAGATGAGGTCAGACACCTGGATCCATGTGCAGGAGGAGGGGAGTCTGAGGAGGGAGATCAGCCTAAGCACAAAGACAGACGCAGGAAAACACATGTGGTAGGAGACAAAGGACTCACAAGGCCTCGGGAGGTCAACTAAGGCTGAAGAGAGAAGCGAGAGAAGCATGGGACCGGAAGGCAGGTCACAGATGAGGGACTGGCTGCCCATGCAAAGAACCAAGCTTAGCTCAGTAAACCAAAAGAGAGAGAAGTCCCTAATTTATGTGAGCCAATGGCATTTTGATAAATGCAGTAAAAGTATTCATCCTAATTTGTAGATGAAAACACCCGGAGAGAGAGAAACTAGCACAATTCACTTGTAGCAGTGGGATAGGAATTTACCCGACTATTAACAGTGAAAAGGGAAATGAAAGAGTGATGGATTGACCCAGGGAGAGTGAGACAAAAGGGAAGTGGGATCACTGCAGCCAAAGTTTGAGTCTGCAGTGACATTAGCCCAAGCAGGGGACCACATTACCATGGTGGTTTTAAACACGTAGAGTCTAGGAGACAACGATGTCTCTGGGAGAAGACGTCCATACACAGGGTCACCTATGAGCCTGAGTGCCTGTGGCAGTCTTGGTTTACATCTATCATTCTGCCATCATGCTCAAAAGTAGCCATAAATTACATGGTGCTCAGCCTCTAGGCAACTGGAAATGTGGAACTAAAAGGAAAGTAAGAAGTCCATGAAGCTGAAGAACAGGTCTAAGCTGGGTATTTTAGAACATAGGCTGGGTGACTATTCTTAAAAATAATAAAAGGAAAATGAATGAATGCTCAAAAGATGAGTTTGGAGGGCACCTAGAGTTAGGAAAAAGGAGACCATGCAAGGGGTAAAAGAGAAGAGTGGCCACCATGGAAAAGAAGAGAACCCTTCCCCAAAGAAGGGATTTCAATCTAAAAGCAGGAGGAAAGACTGTAGACTAAATTACAAAGTAATCCCAAGTTTCCATCAAAAGCAAGACTTCTGTTAAGTGGTATGGACAGAGGCCAAAATGCAGATGCTTCATAAGAAGAAGCAGAGATGGATATTAAGCACCGAATGAAGAACCAGGAGAATGGAAAATAGCAGGGAAAGAGGTCTTAGTTGTGGCCTCGGGCACTATAGAAGAAATCAGGTCCCATGAGAAAGGTGAAGTGACAACCTATGAAACAACCACCCACCACACGGATAAGCTGACTGCTGAAGTGCAGGCAAGCCAGCAGCAATCCACTGATAGCACTCAGAGAAAATCTCTAAACCTTTAACAAATTAACACACATCTGAACGGCCTTGTGCCATTTTGTATCCAGTAAAAGAAAGAAATCAGTCTTGAAGGACAGCAAAGTTCCAGCATACAATAACGTGGCATCTCTGAAGACTGTGCCAAGTGTGAGAAAAGCATTCAGTCTGCCTTTAATGCCACAGACAGACTGTGCCAGCATCAGATGAACAACTGCCAAGTGCATATAAGCACTTTCACTCTGAGTTGCCTGGTTCTTTACATGGCCCTTCCCCTGCTCTTCTCTTCCCCTTGTGCTTTCACCCCACCTCCCAAATATCTTCCCAGTTCTGGCTACCAGCAAATGCCATGAAATGTATTGCACCTGCCTGGGCCTAAATTCTTTGTCTCTTTCATTCAACAAATATTTACTAAGCATTTCCTATGTGTTAGCCATTGTCAGTAGACAAAAAATCCAGCCCCATAGAAGTTACAGTAAAAGAGACCAACAATAAAACAGAATATGTAGTAAGTTAGATGGTGGTAAATATTATAAAAGGGAGGGAAAAGAAGAGCCAGACACAAAGTGGATGGGAAAGGCCTGAAGAGAAGGGGTTACCTAAGCCATCATGTGGCCAGTTGAGGGAATAGCATTGTGGGCAGAAGGAACCACCAGGGAAGGGAAGGTCCTAGGGCAGGAGGTACCTGGATGTTGGGAGAACAGCAGAGATGCCAGTGTGGCCAAAGCAGGGTGCAAGTGGGAGGAGGAAATGGGACCAATGGAATGGGCCATGGTAAGGCTCTAGCCTTCAGTCAGAGGGGTACAGGGAGCCGCTGAAAGACTTGGAATCCAGGAATTCATGTCTTAACAAGCTCACTCTGGCCAATGTTTTGAGAAGAGGTGGTAAAAGTTCAAAATAAGTCAGACTGGTGTTGAAATGATGGCTTTACATCAGACAGATAGCAGTGATAAGGGTGGCAAGTGGCTGGGTTTTATGCACACTTTGAAAATAGAGCCAAGGGGATTGCCGAAGGATTATGTGTAAGTTGTGAGAGAAAGGGAGGTGCACACAGTACTCAGAAGTGTTTAGCGTGAGCATTTGGCTCAACTGATGGACTTGCCATTAATGGAAAGGGTCAGCTTGTAGGTGAGCACAGAGGGGAAGATCAGGAGCTCAGTTTTAGACATGTAACATTTGAGATGCTGCAGAGACACCCAAGTAGAGACACCAAGTAGGCAGTGAAGGAGATAAGCCTGGAGCTCAGGGAGGCAACCCACTGTGCACAACGTGTAGTGACTCTAACCAGTATTGGCTATTGCGTGGTAAACTGCTCAATCAGACCCACGGCACTAAAATGAAAGTTTAGCAAATGTGCTTAGCAACGGCCCTAGTCTCAGAAAGCCTACTGGCTGGGGAGACAAAACACATCACACACTAGACCCCCAAACTTACTGGAGCACTGGAATGACTCTTTCCCCGGGAGTGTTTTATCACAAGCTGAACATTGCAGAACCCCAGAGAATGTTCCTGGGACAAACTGATGTCGATTCAGCTTCTCTTTGTCTTTGGCATCCTTGTTTTTCATCTTCAGAACCAGCAGCCACGGAAAGTGGGGGGAAAGCAAAAAGGGAAAAGCTGTGAGCCATTCTCGCAGAGCTCAGAGGGGCAGAGTCTGTGTTTTCTATGAGAATAAGAACTAGGTGTCAGGATGCCCTGGTATTTCTAATGACTTGGAAGATATTCCATATGGAAAATGTGTGCAAAATCTAAGGTGAGCGATTTTTAAAGGAAAATGCAAACTATATCAATTTCTGAGAAAGAAAGCCACTGATGCTTTGTACCAAGAGGTGCAGAACTTTGATTACCTTGGATTTATTCCGAGGGCTAGTCATCCTATTCATGAGGAAGCTGAAAGTTCGGCTCACTTTATACTTTTCAGTCTCAGATTTGGCAGGGATGATGTATTTATCCCATTCTTCTTCCTGAATTCTACAAAAGAGAACATGTTATCATGGTTCACAGGACTTAAGTCTGATCCAAGAACAGCATATGCATGGATGGATGTGTAAATCAGGCTTTAATGGTTGTTCCAAAGAGAAAAAATAGAAACTCTTTATTAAAAATGTATCTTATAGACACATCTCTTCAGATATGATAAAGCAACTATCTTACAATGTTAACAACTGTAGACTTTAGATGGAAGAAATGTGTATTCAGTACTTCAGAGTTTCAACTTTTCTATATACCTGAAATTTTTTTATGCCAAAATATTAGGGAAGTAAAGGAAATCTTAGACTTACAATTTTACTCTGAGAATTCTCGTTTCCCTCTTATTGTGCTAATAGAAATTTCCCAGGACACGGAGAAGTTGCCAAATAATCAATAATATGAAACTGGCTTTTATTTATTTTGAGAAGCAGAGATGATACTCAGTAGGCATATATTGTTGATATAGCCCAAGAAATAGACTGTGTCCCCATCAATTCAGTTTTTCCCACTTCTTTGGGCTATTTGTAATCTGAGACTCTGAATAGCAGAGGAGAAAAGACCTTGGATTCTCCCCAAAATAAGATGCAAGCTAGAGGTGATTGCACACGACCATGAGCACACTGAGCATCACTTACTCTCCTCTAATGCATATGACCATTCTTTAGGGAAAAAAAAATCTAAGCTACAAAGTTACATTTCCTCCTAGAACTTCCTTTAACACTCATATTTCTGACACTATTACTTGAGAGAGAAAAAATATACATTAAAAATCAAACTAAGTTTCATGTCAAGCCAGATAATACTTCTGTACATTATTTCTATAATGAATATTTCCCAACTAAAGTCTCCCCTTAAACTTCATGATTGCTTTTCATGAAAAGGTGGTTTTTTGATGAGAACTTTTTAGGACTTGAATTTTTCTTATCTGATTAATGACAAACTTAGACTAAGTTACTTCTGAGACCCATTCCACACTTTAATATATATCTACCTAGTATGCTTTAAACCTTTTGTATATTAAACTAAATTATTGAAGCTCTATCTTCAGTACTTTAGAGTTTCAAATCTATAATGCATTTAGGGAAAATATTTATCTCCAGTGGCTTCAGAGTTACCTCTTGGCCATACAGATTTAGGGCACAGTCAGGATGGTGTATGTTCTGCTACTCAAATCCTGCACAGTAAGTGAAACTTTGTGTGCCCCTGACAGAAGCTATCTGAAAAAGCTAGAAGGGAAAGGAAGTGAACAGAACTGAGTGACGATAGAAAGTAACAAAAGATCTCAGGTCTTTTTACTTCCTCTCTACTTCCTCAGCCACTTCTAGTCATTTTTGCCTTAGTTATCTGACTGGTTAATATAATCTAAAATTCCCCCATAAACTCTGTTAMCTTAGGCATCCTGATTTGCAAAACTCTTTGTCATAATAGTCTACAGGCTCACTGTTAGAATTAGGGATGAAAAACACATTCCAGAGATTACCCTAAATCTCCTCTGGAACACCTTTTTTTGATCCCACTAAGTGCCATACAATGTCTAAAAGAAGAGCAGAATGGTGAAAAGGCCTAAATTCTATTACATCTCATTGTTCTATATAGAAATGAAAACTTGGGACATAATGAATTAAAGAATGGTCAAGTCAGGTCAGTGTGGATTTTAAGGTCAAGAAGTCTCTTCCCCTACTCCCCACCAGGAAAAGAACTAAACTTTCTCAAATAAAATGAAATAAACCCTTAGCTACCCAACTTTATTCCTATTCTCCAAGTTACAGAAAGCTGCACCAATTTTTTTTTTAGTTTTGATTAAAAATCTCTAAGTGTACCACAGTTTAGCAAGTGTCCTATGCATATCTACAAAATGACATAAACCGTGCCATTTAACCTTTAAGGCTCAAAAGCTGATAAGACCTGAGCAATGACAGAGTAAACACACAAATGCCAAAACACTAGTGCCCATTCTTCAGAGGCTGTCCTAGTACTGCCCTCTCAATATGTAAACAGATATTTAATATATATTAAGAACATAAATCCTCAATATCTTAATCCTTAATTAATTATATCTATAACTGCCTGTGTTTTTTTTTTTTTAAAGAACAGGGCATCTAAAGTGTTAAAAGAAGTTCCCACTATGCAAATTGAAAATTGACACAGTGATGCTTCCTTTAACACATAGATAGTTGGAGTTAAAAAAAAAAGAAAAAGAAAAAACAGGCTAGGGACATAGCTCAATTGGTAGAGTGCTTGCGTACTTGCCTCACATGCATAAGGCCTTGGGTTTAATCCCCAGTATGACAAACAAACAAATAAACAACAAAAAAAACCAGCTATAGATGTTCTAGATTTGATATAGAAGTGGCAAAAAGACAACTGAGTTATGCTCTGTGATCTTCAAGAACTGGGATAGATGAAGTGTCTGCTAAACAAGCCTGAAAATTCTGGCATGAGCCCCTTTGTACCTGAATGTATCCTTTTCCAGAAACTCAGTAAGAGGACTCCTAAGAAGGCAGTCCTTCAGGTAGCTAACTGCAACATGACTACAGTGAAGCATCAGGTATGGTTGGGATATCTAACAAGACATCAGGAAGAGATTAAGCAAGAAGAAGGCTATACTGCACTAGATATGACAAGGGGTATGTTAGAGAAAGTCAGGGGCTTTCAGGATATAGACCAAAAAAGATGAAAGAACAGAGGAAAACAGGAGTGAGAGGAATGAGGAATTAGAAAGGGCCTCCACACACAGAACCCATCTGCCGCAGTCTGACTGGGCACAATTCAGGAGCCACTTGTCAAAAGAAACAAACTTTATTTTTAAAACTACAAACGCCAAACAAAACAGCTCCTCAGGAAAAACCCTCAGAGCCCAACTGCCACCACCGGCTTCCACAAGCCTCTCCCACACACCAACCACCACCTCCCACAATCCTCCTGCTCTTGAGGCCGATTGGCTAGGTCGCGTGGGCGGAGCCAAAGAAGTCCCCCAGTGAGCAGTTCCGTAGTCTGAAGGGCAGGGAAACAGCCCAATGAACATGACTGCAGAGGAGCCAATCAGCTAGATGTTGCTGGGGCCACTGTGAGCCAATCATCAGCTGGCAGCTTGAAGGGCAGGGAAACAGCCCAATGAACATCACCGCAGAGGAGCCAATCAGCTAGATGTTGCTGGGGCCACTGTGAGCCAATCATCAGCCGGCAGCTGGAAGTTTGCTGGCAGCTGGAAGTTTGCTGGGGCCCCTTTGGCTGTGGCTCTCAACACCCATCCATGTGAAAGATAGAGAGGCTACTATTTAACCCAGTAGAGCGCTGGCTCCTCCAGTCTTAAATCCTTCTCCAAATGGAAAATAAATGTTTTTATTTTTAAAACATCTTTACAATCAGCCCATTATTTCTCCAATTTTTGAAAAGATTAAAGGAAGAAGACCTCTAATCAAAATGATGGTGAAGAGGATGATCAAATGCCATAATTAGGAAATAAATTTGCCTAAATGAGGTAATAAATATAAGCTGTTTAAAACAGTTCAAGGCTCAAAAAAAAAAAAAAAAAAACCACTCAGTAATTGTCAGTGGTTAGTACTTCTGTCCTCCTCATTATCACCACTACCATCATTACAAGGCTGTCTCATTGTCATCCTATCCTTCAAGGACATTCCCAGACTTCCTCTGTTTGTACCATTTGGAAGTATCTATTCTGGCCCAAAAAGAATAGAAATGAACCAAAAGAGCCATTTTCTTATTGATACTTTTATTCTAACATTTAAAACAAAATAGTCTGTCCTGAACTACATATTAAACAGTTTCAGAGCTTTCGTGTTAAAATGACCAAAACTCAGTCAATTTTACTGTTTTTTAGATGATTTCTTAAAGCCAAACATTTATGCCATTTCTAGTGCTAGCTTTGCATATGACCCCAGATCTGTTACATGGTGTGACTCATGATCAGTTAGTTATTCAAGACCAACAGATCTCAGCTATCACACTTGTTTCCTAGTCTGTTTTGCAATCTTTCCTCCAGCAATGGTTTTTACCTTCTAGGGAAAAGAGAAGTTTAGGCTTCTCTGCAAATCTGCATGTCATCCAGAAAACTGATAATGCTTGAAATCCTTTCTGCATCATTTATTCTTCCTTTCAAATCTAACATTGATAAGAAAAATCCATAGTAAGAGAGAATGAGGAAGTTTAGGCACCCTGGAATAAGTGAGGTGGCCTATACTCACCATCCCGAGATTTGTTAATAGATTTAAGTTTTCTCTTTGGCACAGCAGATCCAGGGCAGACCTGCTGCCTTCTTGAAGCAGGTGGTCCTCACACTGCTCCCTTGGGTGCCATATGTGGAGGTATTCAGTTTTGAAAATACCCCAAAACAAAACATCTTTTCCCCATTCCAAGGCCTGCACACCTGAGACTAAAAGAGACAGTTGTCCAATTTGCACTGATACAAACCACAAAGGGAACAAAGGATCTTTAAAAAAAAATTAGTTGTAAATGGACACAATACCTTTGTTTATTTGTTTTTATGTGGTATTGAGGATAGAATCCAATGCCTCACACATTCTAGGCAAGTGCTGTACCACTGAGCCATAACCCCATCCTGGGAGTGAAGGATCTTTTTTTTTTACACAGAAACCTCTCATAAACCATTGAACAGATAACCAAGATGTGCAAACATTTCCAAAGGTGGATCAAGTGGTCACTCCAGAAAATTGGAACAGTTAAAGTACCTTTTTTCTCCTGGTGGCTCTGGTAAGCTGTACGCTCTTTGCTCTGTAAGACACAGAAAAATAAAATGAAAACTAATGCAGACAAACGTGCAGTCTTGGGTTAGTCTGAAATGCACACATTCATCATATTTCATCATCATACCCACTACCAGTTGGAAAATGGGAGAGAAAACAAGTAATCTCATCTAAGTAGGGCACTGCTCTAGAGGTCTTGATCACTTTCCCTAGACTGGAAAGGGAGGGGAGGAGGACAAAGTTATGAACTCATGGGCTGAGCATCAGCAAGGAGAAGGAGAAGTGTGGGAAATTAGTCCTATGTTCTATGTTTACTTCTCACCAGAGCATCAACCCTTATTCATAACACTAATTCCCCAACATAAAGAATCAATAAATTTCTCTTAGCTGATTTTTTTTTTTAGCAAAGCTCAAAGGAAAAGTCATAAGGAAGAATCCATCTTAATATAGCTGCTGTCTTTATAAAATCCTAGCTGCAGCCAATTCAGAGATGTGCTTTGTAGCTCATGGGAGAGGAGAACTACCTTTCCTGCTGGGCTGGTGGGACAGAAGGAAGGGCTCACGAAAGCTTCACGCCATCTCCATCTCGTTTCCAGAGTTGGTGGTTACTCCAGGGATGGAGCAGATACACTGACTTAAGATTGTGAGAAGAACTGAAGGAGGGAGTGGCCACTGTGAAGCACACCATCTACTGAGCAGGACAATCCTTCACTGTTACAATCCAGAACAGTGAAGAGGCAAAACTAGGTCATAAAGGGAAATGAGCCAGCTACATATGGAGAATAAATAAAGATTCCCTGAAACCTGTAAATATCAATGTTGCATCTAGTACTGCCTTGTTGTAAGAGAAATCCTACTTTGAGGAAGTTAAGGCTTTATTTTATAGCTATCATAAAGTGTTCCTCAAGTTAAGCCATAGAAATCTGGTAAAATTCCAAGAAAATAAGGTATCTAAGATAATCAAGCAATAAAATAATATAGTAGACTCAGTCACCTGGGCACAATGTAACAGGAGTGCCCTCATCAGTTCACAGTAACTTTCAAAAGTATGCTGACTTCACCTCTCAAATGCTTAGAAGTAGAATGCTTTCATCCAGCCTGGTGAGACTGAGTTATTACTTCAATATGACAATGTTTCCTTCTATGTAAATTTACAATGTACCAAAAGGAATTACAAAACTAGACTTAAACGTTTTAAGTATCTAAACAATAAATAGTACAGTTGCCACCATTGTATCCTTAGCTAAAAAGAAAAAAAAATTGCCTCATTGAAAGTGACAAGAAAGAAGGAACACATAAGAATTAAAAAGAATTGAAAATGCTGAGCATGATGGCACATGCCTGGAATCCCATTGGCTCCAGAGGCTGAGGAAGAAGGATCGAGAGTTCAAAGCCAGCCTCAGCAAAAACAAAGTTCTAAGTAACTAGTGAGACCCTGTCTCTAAATAAAATTCAAAATAGGGCTGGTGATGTGGCTCAGTGGTTGAGGGCCCCAGAGTTCAATCCCCAGGACCAACTCCCCCTGAAAAAAAGGACTGAAAAAAAAATCCTATCTTTGTATATCAGCATGACACCTCATCTATGGGAGCCTCCCCAACAGACAGATTCTGTTCAAATAGAGAAAATTCTTAGGACTCTTCAAAACCCATCAAGAGAAGATTTACAGGAACAAAAATGTCTATTTGCTTTTGATAAAGCAAACTAAACAATGAAACATTAGAATATACTTTTGAATTAGACAAGTCTTCATACCTGTGCTTGGATTACACAAAATTACTCCTTCTTTACTGGAAGGTAAATTACTCTTCACAGTACAATGATTTTGACTGGCCAATCTGGTATCCATGCAAATGGTTGCAACCAGATGGTCTATCCATTGGGATTTTTGTATGTGTAGTGTGTAGCTTCTACTTAAATCACCTGGTTGTAATTCTTACCCTCTGGATAGTATCAAACTTCATTTGAATAGCCCTGCTTTTAAATATCTTGCCTAAAGGAAAGGGTTTTTTTTTTTTTTTCAGAAAAAAAAAAAAAGGAATTGATGTCAGCTTCTTATTCTTTCTAATTCTAAATGCAAAGATTTAAGGCTTGTATGTACCTTTCTTTGCTCATTACAGATTGTATAAATTGAGGCACTTTCCCCTTTTTTCCTTTTGGTCATCTGATTGGGAATCTAAAACTCCAGAGTTTTCTGACTTTACAAATCAGAGACACCACAGATGCAAAGGCAAAGTCATCATGTGACACACTGCATGGAATACTTAACATGTTTTTCAAGTTGTAAAAGTATAAAGCTAATTAATCAGCTAGGACTGTCAGTGAAAAATTGAAAGTTGCCTTTAAAAAGAACCTAAATTAAGGATGGGGAGACCTGGAGATTCTGTAAGGACCCATGAAATCAAAGGAAAAAACAATTGAGAGCCAATTCAATTCACCTTCTCTTTCCTGTCCTCTCAAGCTAGTTTACATTCTCTGATAACTTTTCCTTTAGAACGTGTCCATTGTAAATCCCCAAACTGACACTTATTATCAGGCTTACTTTCTTCTCTTCTAATAATTCATCCTGGGAAAAGAGGGGGAAAACTCAAAGTTGCAATTGTTTTGTATTTTATATTTATTGTCCATCATATTCAACCAACAAGTATTCTTTGAACAGCTGCCATATATGTTATGACCTTAGATGGCAGTTTCAAGCACAAAGATTCCATTCTCAGTATTGCTCCACATAGCAATGAAAAGCCAAATAATACTAAAAATGTAATGAAGTAAGGAAAAAAGGAAAAGAGGAAGAAATTAAATAAATCCAATTTTAAATATTGTATATTGAGACACTGAGAGGATTTTCTGAGTCTATCATAACTCTTAAAGATAACAAACTAGAAAGTTATTATTTTATATATATTATATATATATATATATATATATATATATATATATTTATATTTTTAAAGTTTTCATTAAAATGTTATGTATTTTGCCTTGGCATGAATACTTACTTCCAAATATGACTTTAAATGTGATAATTACATGTTGCATTACTTACATAAGGCATGAAATAATTCCATTTCAGAAGAAAGTTTAAAATGGGCGCAGGGGCTGAGAGGCCATGAGGAAGCTCTAAATTGACCGTAATTTTTCTAGTTATAGGTCAGATTCACTTGAAAATTCATCAAGCTGGGGCTGGGGTTGTGGTTCAGTGGTAGATCACTTGCCTAGCACCTGTGAGGCACTAGGTTTGATCCTCAGCACCACATTAAAAAAATAAATATAAAAAAAAAATAAAATAAATAAATAAATAAATAAATAAATAAAATATAGGTATGGGTCCAACTGCAATTTTTAAAAAAATTCATCAAACTGTATGACTATAATTTATATCCTTTAACTATTTCAAGTAAAAGTTTATTGTACAAAAGTTATATTTCTGATTGATTATATCACCATCCCCCCTAAAATGATGAAAATATTTGCAAGTGTTGTGACTTTGTTCTTATTTCAACTCTCCAAAGTCCCTTGCTAAATAAAGAAGGAAAGAAACTCCATTTTGCAATGTGTAGGCTCTGAGGAATTGGATTATTTCAACACTTTATACACAAGACAAAAGGGGCTTTTATCATTTGCTTAAATAAAATTCTCTAAAGTCCCCACAGAAATAAACTTGGAATTGACTGTAATTTATTGCACTGTCCTCAAGGAAAACATTTCATACAAAGAACAAAGCAAAAGAGAGGTATGTACCTATGTGCAATTTCATCACCATTAAATCTATTACTTGACTGACATCCAATGAGAAAAGGATTTTCCTAAGCTTAGAAAAATCAATTGTGCATGCCTGTAATCCAGCAACTGAGGAGGCTGAGGCTGGAGGATCACAAGTTCAAGGACAGCCTGATCAACTTAGCAAAGCCCTGTCTCAAAAGAAAAAAAAAAGGTGGGGGCTAGTAATATTGCTCAGTGGTAGAATACCCCTGGGTTCAAACCCAGCACTGTGAAAAGAAAAGAAAGAAGGAAAGAAAAGTCAATTGCAGGAATGGGATTGAAACTTGCTTTTCTTGTGTCTTATTATAATTGAAAATCTGTCTGGAACAGAATGCTTCCAAAGCCAAATGGTAAATAATGTTTACCTTCACTTGAATTGCACACTGTAAAATCACGCACCAGCCGAGTTTTTCCTAAGGAAATTTTGGGTGATGAGCAGGAATAAGAACGTGAGCGGATTCCAGAAAGCAATGATTCCTGAAAGAGAAGTATTAGGAATGGTAATGAAGAAGAAGGTAATGAAGCTTTCAAAAAAATTCTACAGAAGACTTGAAAGTACATGTTCATCATGAATGTTATAAAGTCAATGTCTTTGAAAAAATAATTCAACCTGAACATTTCTTAGATTTTTTTATGGATTATTTGTTTCTGTTTGCCTCTCACAACTTTTAAAATGTTGTCTTTCTAATGTTTTATTAAACTCAAGCTTTGGGGAAGGTTTCCTATACATACTTTCATATGCAATAATGCCATTACAACTAATTTTTTAAAAAATGAAAAATTAAGTCAAATGACATTTTCTCTGCATGATCAAGGTGTTTGACTTGTTGTTAACTGAATTGTCAGTTTTTTCATTTTACACTGTAGCATTCAAACAAAATTCTATACTGAGATTTCTATACTTCAGGCTTATTAGAAGGCAGAAGAATAGCCACCTACAATTTTAAGAGTTTTTTTTAAGCTTCCAAAGAGCTATTTAAATTTACAATGTTAGCTGATGCCTCTAGGGTCAAATACATCAGGTCAATATACAAATGCTACTAGTCCATGCTCATTTTTCAATAGATCTGCCATGCTGCACCTGGAGTGATGTTTGAATATCATTGATTTACATTTCTTCAATATTATTCCTTTTAATGACCTGTCTTTTTTGTTCCTATTTCCCCAATTATATATTATTTCTATTATTATGTTGGCAACACATGAAAAATGCAAGATGACAAGGTAATTAAAACATGGTTTTCTTACATGTTCTAGAAAATTTAGATCAGTATGCAATAGAACTCCACTAAAGTCATTTATGGTATCCAACTCCTATTCCACAGAGGCCTTAGGATTTATCCTGTCCATGTGTTTTTGAGATAGCACTTAAAGTTAGAGCTAAAAGAAAGTAAAGCAAAAGTCTTTTCTAAAATTAAACCATTAGAAACTGTCTTTCACAAGCACTAGCCTCTTCAGTTCCTGAGTGAAAACACACTCATCCTGGGTTCATTTGTTAGTTAAACAGTCCAGAGAAAAGTTGAAAACAGAAGCTGATCTTGCTTCCCAGGTTCTGGACTGTGGCTCCCTGACTGTCCTAGCAGGAAGCACCCATAGGGCTAGAAGTGGGAAGGGTGATAGGATTCTGGCTGTCCTATAACCTAACAGTGACCTGGCCACCAAGCATCTAGCCAAGAGCCATTTTCTTCATTTAAGTCATATATGGTAATCATTTTTCAAGACAATGGAATTTGAAAATTGTCCAAAAACCTTTGGCAAAACATTATACTTGGGGTAATTACACAGGCAAGGCATGATAAAGTTTCTAGGGCAAACTCTTCTAAAAATGAACAACACGAAGCTGTTAAAAGACTGAATTATTTTTCACTCCAAGTTATATTGAGTTTTTCACAATTCGATTCAAAATGCAAAACTAATTAGTACCTACATTAACAATCATACCCATTTCTTAACCAGAAATGTCACATGATGTTCAGATTCAAAAGATAACAATAGTTCTACAGACCTCAGAGCTAAGAGAAAAGGGTGAAGGATTTTTAGTCAGAAGATGAATTAAAATAATGATTCTATCACCAATTGAGTCTACCTGGACAAAACTCTAACACTTCAAGTACCTCATCTACTCAAAAAACACAAATAAAAGCATTAATTATGTTCTAGGTGACTTATAAGAAAAGTATATATTTTGCACATACACTAAACACTTTGTATATTGTAGGACTTGGAACAAAAATATTATCCTAACAACAATATGTTCTTATTAAGAGAAATTTGGGCATGGCACACACTGTTTTACAGTAGTAATCTTGATTTAAAAAGAAATGAGTGGATGACAACAGAAATCAAATAGGAAGAAAATATGTTCAAACACAAAAGAGCTTTCTTTGCAAGACCAGAAAAGATGGTGTTTAGTATTTTTAAAAACAATTACAAGAAAATGAAATTCTTTTGTGAAATTTTAACAGGAGAAAATCTGGCTCCAATGGAAAAGCTGAAAATGTTTATGATATTGCTGATTAGTTCATGAAGCCAGGAATGCTGAACCAATATCATCTCTGCCTAACATCATTTGTCTCATCACTGGGCCAGGTTAAAATTTATGTGAGCAAAATAAGTTTGATCACTTGAAGTCATTTAATACTACCCATTTTTTTCCTTCTGCTTAAGGGATGATGGTAGAGATCATTATATAAAATATTAAAATTTTCCAAGTCTGTAAAAAGTGGCATGTACTCCTTGCAAATTAATGAAAACATAAATCAACCATCATAAGAACTATAAAAATTAAACAAGTTACAAAGATTAAAGAGACTCAAACAGACATCAAAGGAGTCTCTCCTCTAACACAAAAAGGAGTTCATATTTGTAAGACAGAATTTGTCTTTCAGATAGATGGATTGATTTAGACAACCTACTCAGCACACTTAAAATCAGCCAAATTAACACCAATAAGAATACCTTCAAGTGCAGATTACTTGATAAAGAAAGTGATTCAGTCCTGGAGATATTGAAATCTGGTTCAGTGTTGGTCTCAAAAGAGTCCAGTTCATCGCCACTAGGAATCCCAGTTCTTGAGGAACYCTGAGACACTGGAGTATAGCACAGGTGTGGCTGCTCGGAATGCCTGTCTCCTTCACTGTCGGCCACCAGGGCATCGAGGCTAGAACTAAAGCACAGATTCAGTAAGTAAATGATCCAGTAAGCAGGCAGGMAGACAGACAGTGCTTTCTGTTTCTCAGAGTTCAGATTCTCTCATTGGTGTAGGGTGCAAGGGTTGTTCATTTAACTTTACACTAACATGTAATCACCTCTTTTTAAATCATTTTCTAGGTTTTCCCAAATGAACATTTCTACCTACCAAAGACATTTCAATTACCTTAAGAAACAAAAGCTGGTTTGAATTAGCACTCACTACACTCTTTTTTATGTTTTTAAATTTTTTTAGTGAATTATAGTCATAGATAATTTTGACATACTCGTACAACCATGGAATACAATTTGCTCTACTTCTGTCCCCAGTACTTCCCCTTTTCCTCCCCTTCTCTCCCCCTGTTCCTCTTCCTCTATATTGATCTTTTTTCTACTTACTTTTAGTGTCTTTTTTAATTAAAGATTTATAGAGACACATAAACGTGAAATTCACTGTGGTATACTCATATATATGCATAACATATTTTGTTCAACTTCATTCCACAGTCTCTTTTCCCACTTCTCATTCCTTCTCTTCAATCCCCTTCCTCTGCTCCACGATCTCCCTTCTATTTTTTAATAATATTTTTATAGTTGTAGATAGACACAATAGCTTTATTTTATTAATTTATTTTTATGTGATGCTGAGGATCTGTGCCTCACACATGTTAGGCAAGTGCTCTGCCACTGAGCCACAAACCCAGCCCTCTCCTTTCTATTTTATGGAGTTCCCCCACTCCACGTTTTTTCCCCTTATTTTGATCAAACTTCCACATATGAGAGAAAACATTCAACCCCTGACTTCCTGAGTCTGATTTATTTCACTTAGCATGATGTGCTCCAGTTCCATTCATTTACCAGCAAAGGCCACAATTTCATTCTTTTTAAAGTAATTTTTTAGTTGTAGATGGACACAATACCTTTATTTATTTATTTATTTTCTGTGGTGCTAAGGATCGAACCCACTGCCTCACACGTGGTAGACAAGCGCTGTACCACTGAGCCCCAGCCCCAGGCCCCACAATTTCATTCCTTATGGTTGCATTAAACTCCATTGTGTATTTGTGTGTGTGTGTGTATATACACACACACAAATACACACACGCACGCACACATAAATATATATATATCACATTTTCTTTATCTATTCATCTGTTGACAGGCACCTGGACTGGTTCCATGACTTGGCTATTGTGAACTGCACTRTTCCAAACAAATTGATGTGGCTATATCATTATAGTACGCTAGTTTGGTTCTTTTGGATAAATACTGAGGARTGGATAGCTGGATCATATGGAGGTTCCTTTCTTAGATCTTTGAGATATCTCCATAATGCTTTTCCATAGTGATTGTACTAAGTTGCAGTCCTACCAACAATGCACGAGTGTACCTTTCCCCCTAAATCCTCACCAGTGTTTATTAATTTTATTCTTGATAACTGCCATTCTGACTTGGGCGAGGTGAACTCTCAGTGTAGTTTTGATTTGTATTTCCTTGATTGCCAGGGATCRAAAACATTTTTTATATATTTGTTTGTCATTTGTATTTATTTTGAGAAGTGTCTGTTTAGTACTTTTACCCATTTATTAATTAGTTTATTGTTTTTTGTTGTTGGTGGTAACTTTTCTTTTTTTGGTATTGAGGTTTTTTTGAGCTCTTCATATATTTTGGATATTAGTCTCCTAATGGAGAAGCAGCTAGCAAAAATCTTCTCTTTCTGTAGGTTCTCTCTTCATGCTTTTCATCATTTCCTTTGCTTTACAGAAGCTTTTCAAATTTGATGCTAGCCCACTTATAGATTTTTCGGTTTATTTCTTGTGCTTTAGGAGTCTTATTAAGGAAGTTGGTGCCTGATACTCAACAAAAGTGCCGAAAACATACATTGGAGAAAAGACAGCCTTTTAAACAAATGGTGTTAGGAAAACTAGATATCCGTATGTAGAAGGATGAGACTAGATCTCTGCCTCTTACTCTGCCCAACAGGAAAAATCAAAGTCCATCTAAGACCTAGAATTAGAGTAGAAAATGCAACCACTAGATGGAAATATGGTCAACCCTCCAACACACTGGCACAGGCCTTAATCACACCATTTATAAATGTAGTCATAAAGGTAATTATATCAAGACTCACATAGCAGCCCTTCAAATACTGAAGATGCAAATGACACAAAGCCACTGGGCTGTGTGTGGAGACAGAGGCTGTGGGGACCACATGTGGGAATGTGCAGTGTGACATTCTCTCCATGGGCCTCAGCTGGAAGCTCAGGAGGGCAGAGGCCTGTGCAGCTCTCACCTCAAAGCTGGGCCAAGACCCAGGTCAGAAACGAGTCATATGCAAGGTCCCAGACACTGCACAGGATAAATTATCATCTGTAGAGATTTTTTTTTTTTTTATAAATGATTCCATCTCAGAACCAGGTCCTGATTCTTCTTGACTACAGTGTTTCTTTCCCCATTTAACTTTCCTAACCATAAAATTAAAAGGGAAAAATTTGACCTTCCACATTTTGAGTTTATTCATAACATTTACATTTTTAAACCACTCTAATGTCAAGGACAACAGAGTCCTGGGCATGTGAACACAGGAAGCCCTTTTAAATATATTTTTCTTTGGTTGTGTCAGTTCTGGAGTTAAGACTTTAATAATGACACAATGAAACTGTCTTGATTTTGAATTATAAATGATCAGAAGATAAACTTTGATTGAATACATTTGGATTATTTTTTCTTATAAACCATAAATCACTAAAGGGACACACAAATAAAAAATCAATTTCATAWCCTCCGTGCTTCCAATGTGAACCCTGATTAGTTTCTAATCCTTGAACCATTTCATAGACAATAGAAGGCACCAGAAAACTGGGAGATAAGTATAAGCCATGACTGGCACCACAAAGGATTTCCAAAGCAGGATTTTCTCCTTTAAGAACTAATTGAGAGCTGGGCACAGTGGWATATACCTGTAATCCCCGCAGTTTGGGAGGCTGAGGCAGGAGGATTACAAGTTTGAGGCCAGCTTCAGCAACTTGGCAAGGCCATAAGCAACTTAGCAAGATCCTGTCTCAAAATAAGAAAATAAAAAGGGGTAGGGATATTGCTCAGTGGTTATGTACCCCTAGGTTAAATCCCTAGTATGGGAAAAAATAAAAAAGAACATATTGAGAGACAGCCTTGCCTTGGCATGGAGCAGAAGGGAACAAATTGGAGGTGCTTTGCCTTAAGTCAATACTTAGCATCTTGGATTCCATTCAATTATTTATATAAAAAAATGAAGTTCAATGTTAAGAAAATCTTCCTGGTAAATTCTGGTGCTTTGAGGTTAGAGTAAATTACAGATATTCAAGATGCTATGTGATTTCCTAATACAAAGAAAATCTTCAGGCCAGTCAAAGCTTGCTGATGTCTTATGCCTCTGCAACTGTGTTTCAATTTGTGATCTCTATACCAGTGAAAAATAGTTATTCAGATGATTGGCAGCCTGCCTTAATACCCTATTGTACTACAAGACTCTCCAGTTACAGATTGTGTTTTTCCATCACTACAGATGTAACAGCATTACTTTAATGCTACAGTATAATGTTGTAGCATTACTTTATCTTATATACCATAAAACATTTCTTTTTACATTAATTCAAATTAGACTACTGCTTTTCTTTGGTAAGCTATTAACATAAGTTATTGGTATGCTTCAGGATTACCTATAGATTCTCATTTTACAATTATGTTATTTAAATTCCATTAATGGAATAGGAGTCAATTCATTAGATTGTGACCAAAATTTTCTTTTAAAATAATATAAAACAGAAAATATCAGAATACATTCTGATTTTATGAAATACATTCCACATGTTATTTCATAAAACTTTGCTTAAATTTTGTGTGTATGGGGTGGTGATGGCATAACACACATTTTATACTGTGGATTATGGTGAAACAAAAAAAAAACTTTTAGATTGAAACAAATGCTTATTTCCCTTACCTTATTTTTTAATGTCTAATATTTTAAATGATGTTTTATTGCTTTCCCCATGTGGCATCTCAAAAAACTATTAAGGTTAAATAACATAATGGTTATATATTGTGCACATTTTACTAAAATATTATTTCAAAACTCAGAAAATTTAGGTCTTAGGCTCCAATCAGCCTTGTCCCTGTATGGACTATGGTTTTTATTGCATACCCCAAATTTCTCTTTCATTTTTCATGTATTAACAAATGAAGTATATTTCACTTTGAGTTCACTGTCAATCATATTGCAGACCCTCATGATGAAAGACACTGAAGGTCCAGATAAGGCTTTTCAGGGTCACCTGTTCTCCACACTCATTCCAACAGTTTTCAGAGTGGAAGGAGTATAAAGGAGAACATTAGCTTATGGGGGCGGCCAGAGGGTTTTTTGCTAGGACAGCTTCTCCTTCTGCCTTGACCAGCTCTGCCATTTCTACAAAGCCTTCCAAATACTTTTACTCTGAGTAACGTCTCTTGTTCCTCTAAAGAAGAAAAGTTCTATCGGTGTTAGTGAAATGTTTGTACTTCCCAGAGCAGACAATGATCCAAAAGTATAATTTCAATACTCTGCAAATATTTGTACAAAGAAAAGAGAATATCATTGGAACCTTTTCTATCATATATTCCTAAAATGCTTCCTCTAAAGAACTTACTTACTTCTGGAGATCTGGGAATCACACATTCAACAAATCCTAACAATTCTAGCAGAATGCTGTAGTCACATACAGTTTAATGTATTTCTATAGAACTGTAAAGGATCTTGCATGGACTGACAGCCTCTTATCCCAAGTAGATACCATGAAGAGCTCAAAATAACCTAACTATGAAATTTAAAGTCATGACCACTCTCCAATATCTCTAAAACTATAACTCATAAAATACAAACCAAAAGGAAGATTTTATTATTTACATATGATACATAACCTCTGGTACCAACTCCTGTCACTTTAAGTTTTGCAACCTCATCTGTGCAAAATATAGCACAGAGAACTGCACCCACTGATTGCTGGGTACTCTCTCTTCCTCTCCTTCCTGATCAATTAAATCCCTGCTCCATGTTCATTTGCCTATGTGGATATCCCACTCATAGATAAAAATGTATATAAACACTCGCATATGTGTTCTACTTTTATTTTTAATCATGATTTTACATGTGAAAACGAGCATATAATCATGGGGTTAGGACATAAGAAAAAAAAAAAAAAAAGACTGATACCTAATGAAAGAGGAACTTGGCCTAGTCCCTAAGGAAAACAGACAATAGTGTGAATGGAGAGATACAGGTACACACACAAGCATGTACACACACACAAATATATGCAATCACATTCTAAACAATGAAACTATTGTTAAGTGATATTTCTACAGGTGCAAGTACTTCACATGGAAGTTATCTGTAAGCTTAAGGACCTAAAAATAAAACACTTAAGAACTTATCTAAACTGAAAGTGGAACATTCACCATACCATGGAAACTCTCATGGTTCCATTCTCAGTCTCAACACTTATCTCATTAGTTATAACAGCTATCTTGAATTCAGGGATTTTTTTGCCCCTCATTCTGTAATTTTTCTTTATAGCTTATGAACATATATACATATCTTCTAAATAATAAATAATTTGGTTTTGGGCTCTATAAAAATGAAATCTGCCTGCAGCATTTTGCAGCTCACTTTTTTTGTTCAATTTTATGCTTCTGAGATGCATGCAGAGCAGTGGTAGTTGATTCATTTTTATTACTGTGTAGTATTTCATACATATATAATTTAAAGGCATACATAATTACTTATTTATTCCCCATTTGAGTTATTTCCTGCTGCTGTACATACTCATGAATATGTCTGCTAGTGCATGGTAGGGAAATGCCCTTTACAACTTTACAAGAAAATGTCAAATTATCCTCCAAAGTTGTTATACAGTTTTTATTCCTCTCAACTGTGCATGAGTTTCCATTGTATGCATGTTCCTAAAACATGGTATTATTAGACTTTTAAAATTTCTGTCTAATAAGCAGGAAGTGGTATCTTGTTGCAGTTTTTCTGGTATATCTTAGTCAGTTTTATTAAGTGCTTATTTTAAAAAAAAACACCTATAGAATATTAAAAGGGGGCGACAATTTGATGCAGAGATAAAAGTGGTGGAAACAATTAAAAATCAAAAATAGGGGTTTCCAAATCTAGCTACAAGGTTCCTTGATTTTCTACAATCTTCCTCTAGAAGATAGTCTTGTGCTTTCTTTTTTAATTTTTTTTTTAGTTGTAGATAGACACATACTTTAATTTTATTTATTTGCTTTTTATGTGGTGCTGAGATTCAAACCCAGGGCCTTACATGTGGTAAGTGAGCGCTCTACCACTGAGCCACAACCCCAGCCCTGTACCTTCTTTTCTGCAGATGACTTTGTTCCTTTTCGAATCCATGAAGACCAAAAGAAAGGTTCAAGTTGGAAGTGCATGAACTAGATGGTGATATGAAAGACTGCTGGGCTTCCGAATCTGCCATCACTTGGCTGTTCTCCCCGAGTGGGTACATACTGGGGCTGGTGTCAGCAGGAAGGATCTGCTTGCAGCTCTGAGGCTCCAGCGAGGGACCAGTGGATTCAGGGCTGGTGCAGGCAGAGATTCCCTCTATATTAATATAATTGATATCCAAATCACCAACCTGGAAGTTGAAGGCAAAATTTTTTGCTGAGAAAAAGTAGGAAAGAATGGCTTAGCTGAAAATTAATAAAATTTTCCTAATTTAAAAAAATTCCACCTTATTTGTCTTTTTGCTTTGTTTTTACCTTATTTTTGTTTGGCTTTATATAAACAGAGAATTCCTTCAGGATCTGTTTTTGCTCACATGCCTGCCATTCCATAATTCTCAGATGGAAGAAGACTGTTTCAAAGACTGCTTTTTATCACAAATCCAGAAACTGATTATACTTTTAGCACTTTATGAACCCGAAACTGATTATGCTTTTGATATTTTGTGAACCACTGATTCAAAATGAGGAGGAAATGTTTAAAATACTAAAGAAAAATCTAAAGAGTATACTGCTTTATTCCACCAGAATTCATCGGTTCATCAGAACCTGAGTAACCAAGGTAATTAATGGTGGTCACACTAACTTGAGTCTCCCCCAAAACACACCAAACAAAAAGAACAAATAAAACAACATAAAGTATATGTGTGTTGCAAATGTAGAAGACAAGAAATGACCCAAACCTTGAATTACCTGTGAATAATAAAATAAGCATCAATTCCAGCAAGTACCCCCTTATTCCCACCATGAGACTTGGCAGAAAGAGAAGAGGGAGCCATTGGGAGCCTAAAACTTATCTATCTAAAAATCATCACCAGAAAGAAGTGTGACCTACACACAAGGAAAAAAAAAAAAGTCTTAGTTGACCCAAAGTACTTACTCTTAGACGTTTAAAAGTGCTGTGATTTGAGTGGTAGTCATTAAAAAGCATTATAACTTGGGGGTAAGTCAGTAAAAAGGAAGACTGTTGAGCCAGGGTATAGCTCAAAGTAGAACACACACTTAGTATCTTCAAGGCCCTCAGTTCAACCCCCATCACCAAAAAGAAGAAGAAGAAGAAGAAGAAGAAGAAGAAGAAGAAGAAGAAGAAGAAGAAGAGAAGGAGGAGGAGGAGGAGGAGGAGGAGGAGGAGGAGGAGGAGGAGAAAGAGATCAGAGATAGGATGGCAAAGAAGAAAAGAAGCAAAAGGGGGAAATTTTAGGATCCTAAATCATCAAGCATCATCATCATAATTTATTAAGGAAAAATCTAACAATGAATGCCCATACTAGCAGATGAAATTCTAATGAGTAAAGGGATGTCTACAGAAACTCAAACTATCCCCTGACAACATGTTTAATAATTTTAAAAAGAAAAAAAAAATAGTAACCTTACTGAAAAGAAACTTGATAAATCAAAGATAAAATCACAAGGGATAGTCTGACATTAGGAACCTCCTGATATAATGCACTGAGAAGAACACGACATTATTCCCATAATAAATGATCCTCCCAAACACAATCTAATTTTGAAGAGATATCAGACAAACTGAAACTGAAGAACTTTCTAGGAAAATAAAAATAAATATGGTCCATATTCTTAAAAAATATTAATGTAATAAAAGACAAAGATCCATGAACTCTCCCAGATTAAAGGAGAATTAAGAGATGTGACTACTAATACAACATATATCATGGAATTTTCTTTTACTGCAAAGAACATTATGGGGACAATTGGATAAAATTAAATAAGGTCTGGAGATAACAGTATTTATCAATGATAATTTTCTGATTTGGGCAACTATATTGTGCTTATGTAAGAGAATTTCCATGTTTTTAGAAAAATACATCATGAATAATTGAGGGACAAAGGCGCTCCATATTTTCAATGTATTCTCAAATGGTTAAAAATTTTACATAAATATTTTAGCCATTTGCAAGCACACATGCATGCACACACACAAATACACACTCAAAGAATAAAAAGTAGAGTGTAGAAAATGTTAACATTGGGGGAACTGAGGTAAAAAGTATACAGGATTCTTTGTACTGAAGTTATGTAGATCCCAAATTATATCCAAAGAAAGTGTTCCGGGGCGGGGGGCTGGGATTGTGGCTCAGTAGTAGAGCGCTTGCCTAGCACATGTGAGGTAATGGATTTGAGTCCCAGCACTACATGAAAATAAATAAATAAAATAAAGATATTGTGTCCATCTACAACTAAAAATATTTTTTCAAAGTGTTTTTTCAAAGTAGTTTATATGACAGAGAAATTTTCAAAGTAGTTTTTAATCATATGAATGTTCTCATCAGGTAGGTTGATAACCCTGAAAAGTAATGGGGAACAGCATAGAATATAAGCTAACCTAATAATCTATTTAGGTTTCTATGYAAGTTGAGAGAGAGACAAAGGAGATTTGAAAATATTATTTTCAGATACTGTAGAAATTATTTTAAATACACAAAAGTTTAGCTCTTCACATTGTCCTTGTTATTCAATTGGCCATAAGAATAGTAACAAAGACTATGTGAAAACTGTACTACACTGATATAGGACCTTTGTGATTAAGGGTTTTTTTAATACTTTTAAGTTGTAAATCAACACAATATCTTTATTTTATTTATTTACTTTTATGGGTGGGGAGGATAGAACCCAGTACCTCACACCCTCTAGGTAAGCACTCTATCATTGAGCTAAAACTCCAGTCCCTGTAATTTAGTTTTATTCCTAGGTTTTAATTGCACAAATTCAACCGTCTTCAACTCTGTTTCAGTTTATTGAATTAGACTCTTTGGATTCTCTATAAATGCTAACTTTAGTTCTTTTGTGGTTTGTTCAACATTATTAGAGCAATACTTTTTTTCCCACAAAATATAACCAAAGAGAAATGATACCTAAACCTCATCTTTGGTTTGGGAAATTTTGCATTTTTAATGTGTCTCAGAACATATAAAAACAGTTTCCCCCACATAGAACTGAGTCATTTATAATTTTAGCTAGTTGAAGTGAATGGAAACATTATAGTACTCACTGGAGCTCAGAACAAAATGAAATAAGAACTCAAGAAATCTTTCATTTCAACTATTGAGAAATTATGGCCAAAAAGCATCAAAATCAGAATATGGAAAAGAGCTAAACACTAAAAACTATAAAACACTGATGAAAGAATCTAAAGAAGACACAAACAAATGTAGAGATATCTTGTGTTCATGGATTGGAAGAATTAATATTGTTAAAATGTYCATACTAGCCAAAGTGACATGCAGATTCACTGAAATCCCTGTATTTTAGAAAGAGTGTTTGGTTTGGTTTTTAGAAGGAATTTAGTTTTGTTTTTTCATTTTTGTAGAAATAGAAAAATAGATCTTAAAATTTGCATGGAACCACTCAAGATCAAGAACACCTAAAGCAATCTTGAGCAAGAAGCACAAAGCTGGAGGCGTGGCACTTCTTGTTTCCAAATGATTTTACGACATTACAATAACAAAAACAGAATGCATCTGGCATAATAACAGACACAGACTAATGGAACAGAATAGAAAGTCCAGAAATCAATGCACATATATACAGTCAACTAATCTTTGACAAAGGTACCAAGATAACAGAATGGGTGGTTTCTTTTAAATAAATGATACTGGGAAAACTAGACATCCACAGTAAAAAAAGTGAAACTGGATGCCTTTCTAACACCATGCTCAACAGTCAACTCAAGATGCATTAAAGTCTTAAATGTGAAACTTGAAACTATAAAAGTTCTAAAACAAAGCATAGAAGAAAAATGCCATGACAATGATGTTGTTTTGGGGCGGGGGGGGTGTTGACACCAAAAACACAAGTAACAAAAGCAAAATAAATTAGCAGGACTGCATTAGGCTAAAATGTGTAGCAAAGGAAATGATCAACAAAATTAAAAGACCTATGAAATCGGAGAGAATATTTACAAACCATATGTCTGAAAAGAGGTTAGCATCCAAAATCCATAAGGAACTCATGCAAATTGATAACAACATAACCTGATTAAAAAATAGGCAAAGGACCACAATTAGACATGTTTCCAAAGAAGGCTTACAAATGGCAACCAGGTCTATGAAAAGGTGGTGAACGTTACCAATTGTCAGCAAAATGCAAATTAAAACCACAATGAAATGTCACCTGTTAGGATGGCTATCATCAAAAGTCAAAGACAAGCATTGGGAAGATAYAGAAAAAAGGAAAACCTGGTACACCATCATTGGGAAAGTAATTGTTACAGTCATTACATAAACCAGTACAGAGGTTCCCCCAAACTAAAACTGTAACAACAAAAATTCCATTTCCAGGCCAAAGGAAATAAATTCACTCCATATAAGAGACAGCAGTACTCCCATACCCATGGCAGTATTATTGACAACAGCCAAGGCAGGGAATCAACATGTGTCCATCAGTGGATGAATGCACAAAGAAAACATAATAGGTGTGTATCATGATTCAGAGAGAAGCATATTATTTGGCCTTAAAAAAGAAAAAAAAAACCCTATAATTTGTTACAACACGGATGAACTTGGAGGATACTGTGCTAATTGAAATAAGCCAAAACACAGAAAGATAAGTACTGCATGACCTTATTTACATATGAAAAATTCATAGAAACAGTAAGTACAGATCTGAGCAAACAACACAACAAAAACTATGTAAGACGATGGATATGTTAAATTAATTTGATTTTGGTCATCATTTCACAGTGTGTGTGTGTGTATGTGCATGTGTGTACACAAACCATCATATTACACCAAGCACAGTGGCACATGCCTATAACCCAGTGACTCAGGAGGCAGAGACAGGARGATTACAAATTTGAGGACAGACTCAGCAACTTAGCAAGGCCCTAAGCAACTTAATGAGACCCTGCCTCAACATTAAAAATAAATAAATAAATAAAAGGTCTGGGAATGTAGCTCAGTGATAAAGCCCACCCCTGGGTTCAATCACCAGTACTAATAAAAACAAAAATCACATTATATACCTGAAATATATATATAATTTTTGTCAACTATACTTTAAAAAAGCTGGGTGTAAGTATCATAAATAAAACAATAAATCTTACATAAATGTATACATGCATCTKAAAGTATGTCTAGAGCACACAAAATCAAGTTACACTGTACCCTGAAAGAATATCCCCAGAACTCCCAATTTGTCCTATGTTCCAATCTAGATTTTTATAATGAGAGCTGACATGCAGCTGGTTTACACCAAGACAACTGTTGTTATTCTGATTTATTGGTTTCTATGTCATTTTGAATTCCATTCAACCTATGTCATTCATACTATGCATTTGTTGTAACAATGTTTATAATACTAGAGAAAATGAGCAGAGCTATACAACTAAGGGCTGATCAATTAAACAGGAAAAAAGTTCATATCAAAGAAAACATTAATAATGTAAAATACATAACATTAATAAGAAAGGTAAAATACATCATTGCCCAATTGATATAATATGGTACATATCATATTTAGGTTTTAAATTCAGTGGAAAAGGAAAAAATTGTTGTCTAAATTATCCATGAAAATCCGTTCTATCTCCTATAAATAATAATATGTAGAAATCTCCAGTTCTACAACTACATTTTAATTTTTATAAACACAAAATTTGAAGATCACTGAGCTAGAGAAACAAAAAAATGTTAGTAGACACCTGGCACGTTCAAACCCTCTGCCTTTATGAGATTTTTTTTTTTTTTGTGAGGGTTGGGGTGTACCAGGGATTGAACTCAGGGACAGTGAACCACTGAGCCACATCCCCAGCCCAATTTTGTATTTTATTAGATACAGGGTCTCACTGAGTTGCTTAGCACCTCACTTTTGCTGAGACTGGCTTTGAACTCGCAAAAAATCCTCCTGTCTCAGCCTCCTACGTGTGCCACTGCGCCCAGCAAGTCTCTTTCAGGGAATTGGTAGAAAATTCTGAAAGGTTCCAGTTTCTCTGTAATGTGATACCATTTTATTTTGATACTATAGTTCTATAAGTGACCGTGTCATACCAGGCTGGAACCAAGCGCTTGCTCATTAGTGATTCCTAGATTTCAATACRAATACTGCCTAATCAAGTCATCCATGCCCTGTTTATCGAAAAGCCATACAAAAAATGTTGGTGACCCATTGTTGTGTCATCCTTTGGCCCCAGTAAAGAGCTCTCACACTTTTCTCATTTTCCAGTGTCTCAAGACCCCTCCCTTCCAGTGCTTTTCAGTGAGGTCAGATGTGTTGTGTTCTGAAATAAGAACCTAAGTTGAATGTTCCTAAAACAAAATCTCACAGCTACGTTGCCAAGGCAGCTCTGAGGCGGAAGTTTTTCAAAGAAACACGATGATGCTGCACGTATTTCTCACAGGCTCAAGTTGTGGAAASAGGTACAGATGCACCCTGGGTTATCAGGCATGCCTTACCTGATCTATCACCATGCAGTTAGCATAGACTTCATCACCCCCATTCAGCATGTGGGAAAGCCGGCCTGCCKCAAGGAAAGTCGGGGAGTGCTTGGATGTTTTGAGGGCATCAAAGGAGCGATCTAGAGGGAAATGAAAACAGAACAGATAAAGTCGGAGGAATTTACTTTGTCAAGCWTTACCTTCTTGGTCAAACCATAAGGAGAAAAAATTAGGAGTGCATTTTTTAAGATGGCATTTTGCTGTCTTCACATCTTAAGATCTACACAAAARTCTGTTCTGTACTCAAATCTTCTCAGTTATCTAGAACCTTCTTGTAGAATGAATAGTTCTAGATAACTAAATATTTGCCCACTTTAAGCACTATTGAAATCAATTAAATATTTGCCATCAATTTTAACAGATTAAATTCTAGTTGCCTTCATCAATGAAATGAAAGCATTGGACATATTCTTGTGCTTCTTGGGTAAAATGACAGGCTCAGGGCCAGTGACTGCCTACGAGTACACACAGAGAACAAGGCCCAGCAGCTCTGGCTCTGGGCAGCTCAAGGGAGTGCAGAGTCTCTGATATAAAGTTTCCCTCCTGTTTCAGTTACAGAAATGTTTGTGCTTGCTTCCGTGTCCCCAGATTTGCTCCAATTAGATGAGGTGGCTCAAAGTTGTGTCCCAGAGAGAGAGCTGACACATTATCATATTTGTAGGGAACAAATAATTGAAAGTGACAAAACATAGGAGATCCAAAAGGCCTTGTTTCCTGTGACTTTGGTTTATTTATAAAACTCAAGAGATATTCACCAAATTTCTTCATCCATAAAAGTAGATTATTATCATGCTTTCCTCCTAGTAGGGTTATGAGGATGAAAAGAGTTCAGACACATGAAGTTCAGACACAAAGTGCTCAATTAATATCATGTGTCACTACTATTCCTGTCACTATCATAAATGTTGATTTTAAACCATGTTCAGTGCAAGGTATAAGGTCATTAATACTAATTGCACTGTGTGGTATAATAACAGGATACTGATACCTGTAAATGACATTTATAAGGAGATTCAATGTTCCATCCTCAACAGTGGTCATTCTCATTCACATTCCAGTAAGTTTTCTTGAATGAGTACAAAGGGGATGGTACTGCCAGTAAGCCATTAGAAATGCTGGAGCCCGTGGGAGTGGATCAGGAATTGTTTTAAAAAGATTAACAACTGTTAGACTGATATACAACAAGCAAAAAAAAATCTACTCTTTCATGAGAAAGTCCTAGATGATATAAAAGTTACAAAGATATATGGATTGTACAAATCAAATGGCTTGGCTTTGGATTCCAAATCCAAAACTACCTCTTTCCCACAGAACACCAAAGTGAGGTTTTATTAAGCCTTGAGAAAATATACAAAGCAAAATAGTTTCTTCTTACGTCCATAACATAATATTTAATTAACTTAATTGAACAGCTAGGTATATAATATACGAAGTCCAAAAATAATTCACAAGTACAACCTTTATGATCAATTACATATGTTTTGATTCTGATTACACAAAAGAAAAGCAAGRTAGGTTCCAAAGGTTATAAATTACGAACTTGACAAAATGCTTCCAATGCATTCTGGAGTCAGAAAATACTTGCTCATTTGTCATTTTACAGAATGTTTTACAAACAACCATAAGTGATTCAACACAGCCCTCTGAAGTGTGATTAATCCAGCTTAACTGCTCTACAGTGTCATATTTTCACCAACTGTAAAACACCTGGTATTTCTGCCATCACATCTGGGGGACTGTTCATTCTCCTTTTTAATCACTGCCAAATTAAAATTTTGTTGATAACTAGACTGACCTAAGAACTAACACGATATTGAACAAAAYGATTCCAAGAAATGGATGGTTTTCATTTTTAAAAATACAGCATATAATGAAATATTACCCCAAATTGTATGGTGCATTAAATGCATTGCCAAGTGATGCAAAAGACATGCTCTTAATGAACAAAGAAAATGTAGTGTCCAAAAACTCTGACCACTTACTTCAGGGATGAATAGGAGCAGAATTTACTGGTGTTTTCATGTACATAGGTAAGAGATACTTGGGGATGCAATTTTCCTTCATAAACAAATCTATCTGCCCTGTGTGGCACAGCAGAATCTATCAGGAGATCATGCTCAAGCAGTAAAAGAAATTCAGAGGAGGTAGAATCTGGGTACTTTGTCCACGCTTGGGTCAAATTTATTTTCTGCATGATTGATTTGATTAAGGTTAAAGAAAATTTTATAATTTATTACAAAGCCAGGTCTACAATATCTCAGCTGCAATTCTGAAATCTTGAAAAATCAAAACTTTTTCATCAGTTTCATTCGGAAACATATTTGGTGCTGAAATCTGACCTGAGCTCAGATGTACTCTTTATTTACTCCACTTGGGATGAACACTCACACATCTTGCCATGGAAATATTATCATGCTTGATGATGGGTTGCACCACCATCACTCATATCACACACAATATACAAGCATCTTGTCAAAAAGATCTGAAAATTCTCAATTTCCAAACAAATCTTAGAACAACAATTCCCAAAATCTTGGTAATCCTCTACTATTACAGTTCAGATCTGAAATGTACCCACAAAGGCTCATGCATTAGGCAATGCAGTAATGTTCAGAGGTGAAAATATGGAATTATGAGAGTTATAACCTCATCACTGGATTAATGTATTTGCTGAATTAATAATATGAATGGACTAACAAGAGGTAACTGTAGGCAGGTGGGGTGTGGCTGGAGGAAGTAGATTATTGGGAGCATGGCTTTGGGGACTGTATCTTGTCCCTGGCTTCTCTCTCTCTCTCTCTCTCTCTCTCTCTCTCTCTCTCTTCCCCCGCCCCCTTCCCAGCTTCCACGAGGAACAGTTTTCTTCTGCCATGATGTTTCTGCAATGCAACTGGCCAATTGTGGACTGAATCCTCTGGAACCTTGTGCCAAAATAAACCTTTCCTCCTTCAAGTTGTTTGTGTCAGGTAATTTGGTCACAGTATAACAAAAATTTGCATAACAAATCTACCAAATTCACAATTTTACCATAGCAAACCTATCACCTATATGATTCTGCTCTTCAGTACTTTTCTTCAGATTGACTTATCTTTATTCTTTAAATAAAATTATTTGAAAGAAATGCCTATCCCTACTATAAACAGAAAACCACTCTTCCTTGTCAAAAGTAGAATGGAATTCACATACTAAAATCAGTGAAAAGTAAATCATGAAATTAAAGTCTGAACACCGTTTTCTGTCTAAGCTGGGAATCTGAGAGATCTGTTCTTTCTTGGTTATAAGGGAGGTTCTGAAGGATTCAAGACGTGTTCAAGATGCAGAAGTACTAAACTGAGATGCTCTCCTTCAATCACCAGAATGATCAAAAGAAAATTCCTGTCCCAGTACTGGATTTGATGTCAGGTAGTGCTAGATTGTTCATCTCCATGATAGATAGTTTCCAGAAGAGTTTACCCTACACTTTGAAAAACTAGCCTAGATGGAATCATCATCCTGTCTCTCAGGCAATGACTCTGATGTGGCAGTAAGTCCTGATTTGGGGGAGGAGGGACATGACTTTACACGATTATAATACGGCAGTGAGGAGGGAACATCTCTATCTTCTCTCTACTTCTGTCACTCATAACCTGCCATGTGGATTTAGTTGGGTCACTTGCTGCAAATTAGCACAGCTAATTTTAATAAATTTGAACATCTCCCTGGAATATCCATCACTTGTACTTGTTAAAGGGCACCTCAAGGTCACAGGATCCAGAAGACTGACAGACCAGAAAGTGACACAGGCTAACAGGACCATGATACTTCATCCACTCAACACAAGTCACTGCAAATAATTGGGCTTAAACCAGCAGAATGAGATTGTGAAAAGAAAAGGAGCCTTCAAGAGGACTTCCAAATAAACACCGATTACATCTATTTAAGTGGCTAATTGTTTTTCTGTGTTTCAGACCAAAGGAAAAGTTATGGTGCTTTACCTTAAAAAAAAAAAAAGATCTTTTTTAAGGTTTTCAAGAAATATGACTTTATTGCTTCCATATGTAACTACTTTAGTAGTAAATTAAGCAGAAAACCATTGACCTCACCCTCCCCCAAAATGTCCTTCTGGTTCTTTTTCAATGAACATATAAAAATATTTTGCTTAAGAATGTCACGTATTTGTCTTAAATAACTGCTGTCATGTAAACCTATTTTTAGTAAAAAGTTAGCTTTATAGTGTTGCTAATAGCATTAATTTCTAATATGCAGTAATCCCATATTTCAAAAACAGTATAACAATRATTAAAGCTCAACTCCCATCCAAGCAACTACAGATTTTAAATTAGTAAAGGGTAGAACATTATAGTAGCAAAGAACACGGGCTTTAAAGCCAGATTATCTGGGTTTAGTCTCCACCACCTATTAGCTGTGTGACCTTGAGCAAGTTACTTGGCCTCTGTGTCTCTATTTCCTGCTCTGTAAAATAAGGACAATAATATATTTATCCCATAGAACTGTTGTGAGGATCAAATGAGCAAATATTTCAAGCGATTAGAATAGAACCTGATGCACAGTAAGCATTATGTAAATGCTTGTGATTATCATACAAGTAAATGTGGTTGTGCACTTTTGATTCTTATTAAAAAAAAGTAATATTGTCCTTGGCGATCACTTTATATCTTTTAAAACAACTCAAGGCGACTGGAATGCGCCGAACATTCCATTTGCTACACCAAGAACATTTAAAAATGCTCTGACTTTTATTTCAGTCCTAACTCATGTTAAGACATTTTGCCAAGTCTGTCGTCCTAGATCAGGCAACTGAAAAACATAAATGTGAAGAGAAAAGAAAAGCCTTCACCTGCCGGGATCCAGGATTTCCCTCCAGCGACTCAAGGATGAGATCTCACAAAAGGGGAGGGATTATAACTGCAGCACAAAGACAAAAGTCCCATAACCCCAGCCAGCCTCTCCAGAACAAAGGGAGGATTTCAGGAGCTAAGACGTTCTAACCAGGAGTGGACTGGGCCAGCGTCTCCCTGCAGGACAAACAGCGGCTGCCCGGCCTGCAGCTCTCYCTCTCCCACTGCTGCTTTGTCATGTG